CTGTAGGTTCTTTTTCGCCACTTCTGATGTAAGGTATTGAAACACTGTTGTAACTAAAGCACACTATATTGAGAAATACCACAGTACTACACCACGTATTCGCAAAGACTGACTAACTGATAACCGTCCACATTCCTTATCCCCCGATGATTGTACCCTTGCATAATCGTATGACTCGACGTGAGTCAATGTGGATATCAATCTCATATACAGGGCGCAGACTATCTTGTAGATGTGGTGCAACACTCATGCACCATATTGGAGCCGCCATTTCATTCTTTCCCTAACAAAAATTGCATTAGTCATTCTCACCACAATTATTAATTCCTGCCAAATATCAAATCAACGGGACGATTAGAAGTGTGTCATATTTAATTTGCAAGATTTGATTACATATACACCGGGACGCGATTTTACTAAATATACTGTAGGTACGTTAGCACAAACCACGCCCACCGTAATATCTCATCTTCGAAGTACTTAGGCAAAACTCAGAGACTATTTATCCTTAACGAACTAACCTATCCCTGATTGCAATATTTTTGAGGAAGGAAAACCGAATGGAGTGTAGAAACACATTGATTAATAATATATTTCAAAAGTTGAGTTCTTCAACAAAATTGAATAAAATGAGACTGTTTATCCTAAACGCACTAACCTATTTGACTTCAAATATTTTATGAAAAAGGAAAACCAGAATGAAGTGAAAAAACATTGGTGAAAAAAAAAGTTGCAAAAAAAAGTTCAAGTTCACAGCGATTCGAACCATGGACCTTCAGACTTAAAGTCGACAGCGCTAACCAGTAGACCATTTGGGTATATGAATTTATTGCGTACAAGAGATTGACAACGAGAGAGCTTCAGTCGAATTCGTGTCAAAATCATGAAAAGTGTATTCTTGCGTTGGAGCACAGTATATTTAGTGCGATGTGCTGACTCCGAGTATATCGGTAATGTTTGGAGATATGACGTATTATGGTGGGCGTGGTTTGTGCTAGCGTGCAGTATATTTAGTAAAATCGTCACCGGGACAAGAAAAAAAAACTAAATAAAAGCTTGTAAAGTAAAAGTCATTCGTGATTTTTTCATTCATTCAAAATTCATAACGTTATACCCAGCAATTGAACTGAATTCGTGTTTGTTTCATTGACTGTTGAAAGAGAAGAATGGGTTGCAAATAAAAACCACTGATGTGGAAAACCCGCATTCGGTTTGAGGAAGTCATTATTAAATAGGACGTCATTGATCAAATTCCTAATAACTCCAGTCCGGCACATCACCGTCACAGTCTGATTGATTGATTAATTGGAAACTGCACTGTCCACCTTGGTGTCATTCAAACGTGAATAGAATAATAAAATTATTCATGAGACCAACGCTTGTCCATGAAGTAGGCATTCATTGAATATTCAGATAGAGAGACAGATGATTCCATAATATGTAAGAGAGACGAAAACAAATGTTAATGTACCTATACCTACACATAAATATCCATGCGATCGATTGTTTCTTTTTTATTCTATTCAACGAAAAAGAATAATATATAAGCTAGCATGCTGAACTTGAACAAAAGCCAATTCTCGTGAACGCAGTGACCTGTTTTATTCTTTATAATAATAATAATTTTTATTATTATTATTCATTTTTCTGTCGGCAAATCCCTCGTTAAACTATGGTCGGCAGTTAGGGTTCAGAGATATGTTCCTATACCTATATAAAAATGAAAAAAGTTCTTGGTTTGTTTTCACTTCAACACCTTACATACCTATCAAGGATCTCGTTTCTTTTTCCAAAATAAAACTATTTCTATATTTCAAAATAAAGTCATAGCACAATATGATCGCAATGCAATCAATCACTTATGATTTACTATATCACTATAATTAGGTGACTCTATCGTTTTTTTGCTTTGGAATGAAAATAAGTTCACTACGGTTCAATTGTTTTCCTTGAAATTGAATCGATCAGTTCAGTCTATTTGGTGTAGTTATAGACATTTCTGAATCACATGTCACCCTGTGCATGTTTCAATTCTGATGATGCGAAAAACGAATTCAGTATTATTTATTATGTTTGGAAAAAATCCATGATGAATAGAGATTCTGAAAGTGAATTAATAGTATGTAACAAGTGTTATAAACGTCATTTTAGTAACGAGAGATTTTAAGCACGAGCTCAGCAGAGCGGAGCGAGTGTATCGAAAGTCTCGGATTATTAACATGATCAAAAGAAAATTACAAATATCTTACCCATCATCAGGTGAGCACTTCGAAGGCGCAAATTCATTACTGCCTGAGTCGTCTCCATCACGTTCATCATCAGCAAAAGAAATTATTGTGGAGAAGAAAAAGGCAAAAAACATGTATTCATATCATAAAGAAAGCTGTTTTTTTTTTATTTACCCTAAATCAACTTGGTTGAACAGGTATTTTAGAAGAAGGCCCTGTACACCTCAGTTACTATCAAATCAAACCCGCCTGATATATACCTAATCAACTGATAGTACCTTTGATACAGGGCCCCCTTCTAGAATACCTGTTCAATCAGGTTAATTCAATGTAAATTGCGAAAATGTTTTCAACTATGTTTATAATCTAGATCCATGCTTTTTCCGTTCTCCTTCATTAAACACAGCTTCAGTGATTTATTGAGACATGTCTGGCCTGTTAATTGTATTAACTGTCAACTGTTATTTTCGAATTTTGTATAAGAATTATTCAAACAATTTTCGTTTGTATCAGAATTCTTCATCAAAAATATATGCGAAATGTAGACAAAAGTGAAATCGAAGAGAATGTTCTGGTACTTGTATATCTCCAAGAAGTGTAAAAATGAAGCATCCATCTTTGACAACAATTTATTTATTCTGCGCTCAGCATGACAATAAACGCGAAACAAAGGTCAGTAAGCTATAGACTGGACACATCTACAACCAATATCATTTAAACGTGTCTCGCTGGATGCATGTAGTTGCATGTATTATGTTCTCAATTCCCATTCCTTTCAAATTATTTTGTAGGTTAGCAGGAATAGCAGGTATGTTAATGTAATTTTTGGAGCTCGTGGAAAAAGCATAGAATGTAATGCGTTTATAAACTTTCCTAGACACTCGTTTATTAAACACTCGCTCCGCTCTGCTCCGCTCGTGCTTAAAATACTCGTTACTAAAAGGACGTTCCCCAGGCAACCAAATGACGAGTGATCACGTCACTGTGACGTCTCTAATTGGTGATTTTTCGTCAGAGACGTCACACCAATTTATGACGTCACTATGAAGTACTTTCTATGACGTGATAATCACGTCATCGTTTCGACGTCGAGTGAACGTCACTTGGATGGGTAAAAGAAGACGTCAGTTTCATGACGTTAAAGGTAAGTCCTGTCGACGTCCATTTTTTCCAGACTTTCTCTGAACCTTGGATACTAATACAGTGTCAATCATAAAGTCGGCATCATATTGGAAAAACTTTTATTAATTAATTTTTCTGAAATTCGGGTTGGACGTTAAGTTTTGTTTCAAAGAAGATGAAAAATGGCCTACCCAATCGAGGTCACGTGACTTTCGCTACATGTCAAAAGTGACATTTTTTCAAATTAATCGCTGAAAGTAGGCTTATTTGTTCGAATATCGAAAAAGTTCACTTGAAAAAGTTGTTTCTATTTGAATTTTACATATGTGACTCGGATTTTATCTTTCTATTACATTTTTTAGATTTCGATATTTTTAAAAATTTTCGAAATTTCTGTATATATAAAAAATGTTGATTCGATAAAACTACTTCATACCAGTAGCTTCATGATGCTACTCACTTTCAATTGCTAATTATCACTAATTATCGACAAAAATATTATTTTCTTCAGAAAATGATAATATCCGCTTCAAAATTCTGTTATGTTTGATGCAAACGTCGCTATGACGTCTAAAAATCACGTCGGTTTGACGTACCAATTTGATGAGCTTCGTCATTTAGGAAATTTTTCAATATAATCAACTATTTAGATTTTTGTTGGGTGACAAAGAATGCATCAATATATATTATTCAACAAAGTGAAGCCAAATTCGCCAACATCCTTTCCATTGCTATCAAACTATTCTTTGTTTTCTTACATCTCGCCGACTCAAACTACATAATTTTTTATACAAAAACGAGTAACTGATTGCATTCTGATGGAGATGCGTACTGAAGGATGGCGCTACTGAATAGGCGATTGAATCAACATGACCCAGGAGGGACCCACCAAGCAGACTCAATAATGCATAATCAATATTATATAATGTCATCAGAGGCTAGTGGTGTTAATCACACCATGTTGAAGGTTTTTTTTTACGTTTCATCGCCAAATTCAATCGTCATTTTGACGTCATTATGACGTCAGTCAGACGTCACAGTTTGGTGAGTGAATGACGTCAATACGACGTGAGTAATATGACGTCATTGGGCTGTGACTTATTCACGTCATTATCACGTCAATGCGACGTCAACTACTGACGTCACCTACTGACGTCACCTTGGTCATTCAAGTGACGTAAAAAAGACGTCACTGTAACGTCATCTGGTTGCCTGGGTCATAACACCTGTTACATGATATACTATTATCTTGATTCTGCTTCTTCTATAATTGATCCAAAAAAAATTACTCACGCTGCTCTAGCTGAATTCAATAAATTACCACATAATATAATATAATATTGCAGACATATTTCAACATTTAAAATTGAATCAAAAAAACACATGATTTTATCACGACATGGATAAAATTAATACTTTGTCATCTACTGATTAGTCCCTGTGGCTATTTTTATAACTTGATCGATTTAGCATCTTAGATTTTTTAGATTTTTTTTGTTATGTTGTCACCTTATATTATCTCATTATTGTTGTTTGTGATCAACTTCCTTATACCAGAATTTTATTTCTGACTGGGAGTTAGTTTTCCAATAAACAGTGAAAAACAATAAACCATAAATATATCGTGAATATTCTGATTTATTTTTTCAGTGGCCTGGACAGCTCCTCGTGCACCCAGTGCATCTCCCTGTTCAAGAAACTCGCCCAAGAGGGCCGCACTGTCGTTGCCACCATTCACCAGCCCTCGGCGCTGCTCTTCGAGATGTTCGACCGGCTGTACGCCCTGTCAGAGGGCAGGTGCGTCTACGACGGCCGCCCCGAAGGGCTGGTCGAGCACCTAGGGCAGCTGGATCTGGTTTGCCCGCCCTATCACAACCCCGCCGATTATCGTGAGTGAAAACATCAGTTTTACCCATATATGCCTACCGTCCTTCCATAAGGACACTGCGTAAAAAGTTCTCTACTGCGTAATTTGGGTACATTCGTTATAGAATATCATCAACACAGCTTATCGACAATACGTGAGTACAAATCAGGGTTGGAATAAGTCATGACCTTTATAAAAAAGTCATAAAACTCCGAATTTTTGAATTAATTCGGACTTTTTTTAATTAATCCACATTTACGTAAACAAAAATAATAATGATAAATGCATGATGCATGTATTTAACTTATAACTCATTGAGAATCTTAATTAGAGCTACTTCAAAGTTCGCAATTTCGGACAGCGATTGATTTTATTTTTTCGTATAATTGCAAGGCAAAGGCGTCAAAATTCTCATTGAAATGTCAAGTTTACTTTGCCAAAAAGGAACTCCTGTAATTATAAATGAGAAAATGATAGATTTTCGATATTTTATACATTATTTGTACATCATTAGATGCATATTCAATAGTACTGTTCTCATGGTTCCTTCTAACATGATAAGAAGTAAAACTCAATTTTTTTAGACAATAATACATTGATTGCAAACCAGTCATTCCGATTATTAATATTGCCAGAAATATGATCTGTAGCAATCAATTTGTATGCAATAAAAAATTTAAATATGTAAAGCGGTTCTTAAAAAAGTTAGGTTTCCTCCTGTGGACGCTCAGATCTTTATGATGGTCAGGTTGACATAATGTCTTTGGATTTCTCAATTCAAACTAGTTCAAATTGAAGGTAATAATACGATTTGTTTCCATTGGAGAAAGTTTGAATGAATTCATGACTTGAAAAAACACTGACTAATCCGTGCCAACCCTGCTACAAATGGAAATTAACTATCCTATTCATGTTGGCTAAGCAAATTGATGTCAATTCGGTTGGGTTGTCGGTTATGACTGAAATATTTCAATTTTTGATTTGTTTGTCCAAAAAAGTCAATACATTGTGTGTTTCCAAACTGAATCCCACAACCCCAAATTTTCAAATATTCTTTGAGGAGAATATTAGGCATATTAGCAACTTTTCTTGTTATATTCACTTTCTACAATCTTCAGAAGATGACTGAACTAATAATGAACAATCTGAAATATCTGAGGCGATTATGTCTCCTCTCAATTATTGTGAACCAGTTACGCAGATCAGTACTTGAGCGATGAAGATATTTTGCTAGTAATAATAATAATAATAATAATATAAGTTTATTCAAAAACGTTTACAAAATATACATTGGAATAAACATAAAGGTAATTTGAATAAACTGGGAAAAACCTTACGAAGTTAACCTTGTAGTAAGGATAAAAAATAAATAAATGTACATGGGTCAATAAATATTTAACAATATCAAGTTATCACAATTGAAAATTGTCTCATTAAGAAAGGAGACAAGTATTCAATTCATAATATATAGTGTACGGAGCATTTCATTCAATACGCATAATTATTTATATTCATACATACTTATTCACAATTATTATTAAAATTTATCTGATGATATTATTAAATGTTAATTGGTAGTTCAGTATATTATTACGACGGGACCATATACCCCTTGGCTGAAGCCTCTGGATATAATTTTGGTCCCTGAGTAATAACGAAATTCTTTACTACCTTGATGTACCTATATACAGTGTCATTCATAAAGTCTGCATCATATGGGAAAAACTTTTATCAATGACTTATTTTGGAATTCGAGTTGTACGTTGAGTTTTGCTTCAGAAAAGATGAAAAATGGCCTACTAAATCGGGGTCACGTGACTTTCGCTACATGTCAAAAGTGAATTTTTTTTCAAATCAATCGCTGAAAGTAGGCTTATTTGTTCGAATATCGAAAAAGTTTACTTGAAAAAGTTGTTTCAATTTCAATTTTACACATGCTTTCCGAATTTGATCTTTCTATTGCAACTTTTAGATTTTTTTTTTAATTTTTCGAAATTTCAGTAATATTTGAAGAATTGTTAATTCCACGAAACTACTCCATACCAGTAGCTTTTTCATGCTACTCACTTTCAATTACTTATTATCACTGATTATGGACAGAAATATGATTTTCTTCAGAAAATGATAATACCCGCTTCCAAATTCTGTTATGTTTGATGCAAAGTTGATATATCGTCAAGCATTTAGAAACGAAATTCATTTAAACTGATCTTTTCAGTACTGAAAAAATAAATTCAAATGAATTTCGTTTCTATATATGCTTGACTCAAACATAACAGAATTTTGATGTTATGTTTGCATCAAACATAACAGAATTTTGAAGAGGAGATTATCATTTTCTGAAGAAAATCATATTTTTGTTGATAATCAGTGATAATTAGTAATTGAAAGTTAGTAACATGATGAAGCTACTGGTATGAAGTAGTTTTATCGAATTTACAATTTTTTTAATACTTATTACAGAAATTTCGAAATTTTTTAAAAAATATCGAAATCTAAAAAATGTAATAGAAAGATAAAATCCGAGTCACATATGTAAAATTGAAATAGAAACAACTTTTTCAAGTAAACTTTTTCGTTATTCGAACAAATAAGCCCACTTTCAGCGATTAATTTAAAGAAATGTCACTTTTGACATGTAGCGAAAGTCACGTGACCCCGATTGAGTAGGCCATTTTTCATATTTTTTGAAGCAAAACTTGACGTCCAACTCGAATTTCAAAATAAGTCATTAATAAAAGTTTTTCCCACATGATGCCGACTTCATGAATGACACTGTATAACTATTTTAAAGCAATCCGATAAAATAGGAATTTGTTTTCTCTCGTAGTGATGGAGGTAGCCATTGGAGAACACAACGCTGATATCAATGAGTTGGAAGAGGCAACACTCAGAAGTCAATCGACAAAAAGCATTCAATATAACCATAGTAAAGGTGAGTAATAACAATATGGTAGATACTAATTGTCCTGATGATGATGAATCATAATACAAATAATGTTTGACACCACGGTCCAAATCCAAATCAAATCACAACGATAATATATATATCCTATCTAATAATAACAACTGATGACATGCTCGTATTTCGTAAATTCATTGACATTGAATCAACAGTATAATAATCAAAAGCAATAGGCAAAGTATCAACATCAACATGGCTTGTGGGGATTTCCATCGATGGAATTTCATTCAACTTTTCATTTATTTTCCATTTTGCGTCTTTAATAAAGTTAAAGTTGGTTATGCGTGACGTCAAACTGTCAGACACGATAATTTTTCTACTATCTGTCAAATTAGAGAATCTATACATTCAAATATTTTTCCATTGTTACCAAATTTCATTCTCAGCTATAAACATTACATTGCTTCTCGATTAAATATAAATATATTTTATCAAGATTTACAATGAAATAACATGAATAATCAGACAGATTCATATCTGGTATGAGATTACAAATAGCTCATTAAAAGTACATTATGACATCAAGAAATAAATTAGTGAATGAGAAATTATTTACTCAGGTTTGATTTTCTCTTTGCAAGGGTATACGTTTCTTGACTTTAATTTCGAATCGGGTGATATTTGTGCAACTTTTGATATCATCAGGTGATTCATTGAATTTTGAGATTGCTCCGTGAGTAAACTTTTTTTGGCCAAGTGTGGAATTAGCAGCATCAAGATGAAACAAGTCATATTGTCTAGTATGATGTTCATGGATTTGAGGATTCCTCACCAATATGAAGTTCGATTTGAGGTGTTTGTTGATAATATCAAAAGAAACTCTGAGAGTATTTATCAGATAGTGTTCTTCCAAAGAAAATATATTTGTTTCCTCATAAAGTTGATTTGATGGGGTGTCATATGGTAGACGATACAGTACTGTTAATGGTTCTTCATATAGTCCAGCTATATTTTGTTAAAATTAGTCTTGGAACATGAACCCCAGATATTTATGGGATAGTTCATTTTACTAAGGAGGTGGGATTATAGAACGTTATTTGCTATATTTGGGATAAGTTTTGGACAACTTCTTAGGACACCAACTATGGGAGAATCATTTTCTTTGAGTATTTGGTATAGGCAGTTCGTTTCAATCTTTTATTTTTTATTCTAATATTCAAATCAATATTTTGTTTATTTGTTTGTTGGAGAGTTATATATTGTGTCTTATTAGAATTAAGAGAAAGAAGATTGGAGTATAGCCATTCTTCCATCTCCTTCAAATCCTCATTTATATATTTTTTTTTAAATTACAGTGTTTATGTTTTCAAATAAAAGTACTGTGTCATCTGATGCATATATGGCATAGTTTCCTATTCACTTTATTTTTGAAATGTAGTGAATGTATAAAAGTTACAGAATTGGGCCCAACACTGATCCTTATTAGTGAATTCTCTTCAAATGAGTACAAATTAATGCAATATAAAAAATAATAGTTTACACGTTTCATAGGACATATTGTTGCACTAGTTTTTTTGGAGCACCCAGCTTCGCTTCGGTTGACGTTTGTAGAAATAAAATGTTGCCAACTCGTACAAGAAATACTTTGGTCATCTCGAATAATTTTTTCAACTCGGCTGCGCCTCGTTAAAAATCAGTTCTCGATCACCAAGGTAGCATTTCGCGAACTAGATATAAAAATAACTATTTATATCATTTCGTTATTTTTTGTTTTCGATTTAATTCCCACTCAAATTCTGCGTACCAGAATCAATGCATGGATTTCGGAAGAATAGTTGTTTTTCTCTCATTCCACCAAGCAAATTTGGAAGCTATGTTGATGCAAGATTGTAGCAAATACTATAACGGACGTTCTGCAATATTGCAAATGTAAATTTGTAAATGTAACATTCCAGCAATGTCACAGAAACATGTAATATTGCTGCAAACTTAACCTTTGCAATATTGCTGGACATCCGTTTCAGCATTGCTTCAACATTGCTTCAACATAGCTTTCAACTTTGCTCAGTGGATCATCAAAAATTTTGTTCATTTTATGAACATTATTGTGTAGAAATAGCTTTGAGCTTTTGTATTTGATCAAATTTTATAGTTCAATGAATGATTAATTTTCTCAGTCTAGTTTTGTATATTATCATTGAAGGAACATATCGGAGACCAATGTGAAGATTTAAATCCATGAAGGATTACCAACATAACCAACAATGATTCAGTAGTAATTATTACAGTCAAAGACTCATTATTCATTTGGAAGCTAAAATATGTCAACTCGATATGAAATATGTGCAATTATAAAACGTTATCCTGACGATACCATGTGCCATTTCTCATCAGAAAAAACGACGAATATATTTGGCCTTATATCTGAATATTAATCATACCTAGTCGTTTTACGTACTTTTTTGTATGTGATACCAAACAAAAAAATCGGAAGTGAATTCGTCTCCATTAACAAAAACAATGGTGACACATAGGTACGTGCCTCGAACAGTGGGTATTTCATAATATGATATTATCCTATACGTAACTTGAAACGGCCATTATCTTGAAAACCACGTATTTTCCAGAAGTTGTTTCCTTATAGCGGGCAGAGAAAAAAATTGCGATTTCGAATAATCATCATGTTGATATGTGCGGGGTCAATTAACTTTTTATTTTTATACGTAAAATTGATTATACAGAATGGAATGAATAACTTCATCTTCATCTTCATTTTGTTTAACAAGGGAATTTTGCATACGCGAGGCGGAGGTCTAGCAAAGCCGAGCGAAAGCAAAATTTGCGAGTCAAACAAAGTCACTTTTGATCCGAATGAAACATGCCATTTCTTCTGCAACCGTAAGAATTAACTAAAATAAATATGTGAAGTAACCACTAATGCCGTGCCATATACAGTGTCTTTCAAAAGTATCGGAACGGTCTCATATTTCAGGAATGGCTTGAGAAAAATTCACGAAATTTTCTACAGGGTGACTATTGATGAAGTCCGATTCAATGGTGGCATCGGCAATGTTGCCAAGTTTATAGTTTTTCAGGTATTAGGAGTAACTTTATTTTTTCAAATGGAATACCCCATTTATTTTTATTGCAATTAATCAAGCGCCTCCTAATTACTCAAGTCCCTGAATATCAGATTCGTAATTAACGTGATTTTCGAAATTTGACAACATAGCATTTTCGTTAAAAAGTTCTGGAACGGTCCCATATTTCAGATACGGCTCAGATAAAATTTATGAAAACTTCGACAGGATGGTTGTTGATGATGCCCGATTCAATGGTGATATCGGCAATGTTGCCAAATCAACAGTTTCTCAGATATTTAGGGTAACTCAATTTTTTCAAATGAAATACCCTATTTGTTTTCATTGCAATACATTCAGCGACGCCTCATTACTTATGTCTCCAAATATCAGATTTTCAGATCAAATATGAGACCGTTCCGATACTTTTGAAAGACACTGTATATGCAATTCAAGAAATAATCCGTGTGGTGAGAATCTTCTACCTGCATTAACAGATCAGGTTCATTCAATTTTCAAGGATGTTCGAATTGTAGTTTCAATATAAATGCAACCACAGAGTGACCACTTTGTGTATGGATCAGGTGTCAGCCCTAATAACAAATTCCGCAAGACGTGGAAAATGTTAGGTTATTTAGCATATCAACAATAATAATACCGATTATGTATTTCTCTTCATACTCCACTGTATTTGGCTTGGTACTCAAATGAAGGTGAACAATATCGTTGTGTGAGACAAAAAACTATTGCTGGCCGAGATTATTCAAAAACAAGTTATCAATCCCGAGAATAACGAATGAAATGCAGATCAAGCAAGTTTGTGATTCTTGAAGGCTTCCATGATCAAAATAAAATTACTGAACTATATAATATGGTGTATTTATATCTCCAGCATGGCTATGAAATGCCAAATCTGCCGAAATCGGAAACAAATGAGGTATGCGTCCCAACCCAAATAACCAACTGTAACAATGTTATTGTTTATTTGTGATGACCTCTAGTACATCCTTTTTAGTTCCTAGGAGCTCCTAGTTCTACTTTAGATCCTAGGAACTAATAGTGTTGCCTAGATATACCTATGTTTGTGTCAGTAATACAAACGTCAAATCTAGAGCTAATTTTAGTATCAAAATGGATGACTTTTGTGTTGGTTGCAGAAAAACATGAAGTCATTCATTTTTGTCAACTTGTCGGATGAATTGAATTTGGACGAGACTATGTTCAAAATTGACCGTTGAATTTGTTTTTCATAACTTCGTAGAAAAACTTGATCTTCGTTTCATTATGGTAGAAAAAATTGATCATTTATCCCTGAAATCATTCCAGCTAGACCTCATCTCTTCGGGGAGAATCTAAAAATGCAATGAAATAACAAAGTTTTTGCTTCTTTTCGTTAGAAGCGGCAACGCAGGGCTGAAAATATTTTACGATGTCCCCCTCAGAATTTTTCTCATAATCCGGTTTTGGCGACCTACAGAACCTCTGTTTCGTTTTCAAAGGGCCACCCTGTAGTGATGCAATTATTTTCCATAGCGGCATTATCTTTTGTACTTTGCACTAGGTTATCAACTCTTTGTTGAAGACATCAGTAAAATGAAAAAAGTGCGTATGTATCACCAATTAGTGTGTAATATATTCAGAATAATTTGAAATTACCTCATATAGGTACTATATACAGGTAGTTCCTGGGATTGGAGAGATGAATGATGTGGCTGAAAAAGAGTAAATATTCTCATCACATAGAGAATGCGAATTCTCAATGTATTGCTTTATATAAATATATATCCATTTTTGTATGTTCATAATTTATCTGAGAATATTTCTTTTCAAGACAACTAAATTAACAAAACAATATGGATGAAAATTTCAGTCGAAAAAAAAAATGTTTTTGGTAGATATTCAAACCAAACATTTTCTTGGAGTTCATTCGAATCATTTGTTATAGTACAGGATCCGAAGTATGGTCTACCTTCTGTTCATTGCGCGAGAAAAACATAACATTACAACGTTTTTTGTATATCAGAGTACGGACACTAGACAAGCAGTGACAATCAAACATAACCACAAACGATTTTGAAGAAAATCATATGTTTTGCCAGACAAGGACAAGAATATGTTTTTCGCTTAGATAAAGGATCCTCGCATCCTACTTCCCCCACAAGTCCTGGGAAGAGTACATCCATATATCTTCCTCTGTCTTTGATTTTTGTATGAGAGTGAGTAAAAGGGTACGATAAATTGGTTACAAAATTATTTATTCTCGAAATATTGAATGATAAGGCTAAAGGACCTCAATGGAGGTCGATATCAAGTTGGTATGTACATATATACCAACAAAATACATATACTATTCCCATGAAATAAGTCTCTTATATGTAGGTAAATATTATATACGTTCAGTTAAATATTTTTTCATCACAAAAGTTCAGAATGGGGTAAAAACTTCTAAAAAATTTCATCCAATGAAACATACTATGGCAACAATAACAGCTGATTTCAGAGTGAATTGATTTCCCGTGTTCTCACAGTTGAAAACTGCACAAACTTGCATCTTCCTCCTAATTCTGTCAATGTGGTCAAACCTTTGAAATGTATGTCATGTATGTCCGTGTACTGTGAGCCCGCATTTTCCATCAATTTATTTGTGGTTATGTCTGATGATTGTCAGTGCTTGTCATAGTGTCCATACTCTAGTTGCGTTTTATTCATCCGATTCCGCCACCAGAATCAGTTTAAGATATAAAAAAAAACGTCAAAACAGCAGTGTCAAGTACATTTAGGAACTCTACCTAGATGTACGTATTTTGTATACAGGGGCGTCATTTCAGTGAATACTGAGGATCAACAATGATATAGAGGTAATTATAATAATGAATAAGTGTCAAAATATTTGTCAGTAGATTATGAAATGATGTTTCAGTAGATCAGTAGATCAATATACCAATCAAGAGATCTACTGAAACGTCAGTAGAGCTTTCAACGCTGCAGCGGACGAAAAGTTATTGTCTGCGGACGAAAAGTAATAGATAGATAGATAGATAGATAGATAGATAGATAGATAGATAGATAGATTTTATTAATCCTTTGTGCTACAGAAAGTCACACATAATGGTGAAAGGTGCAAAACAACAATTTAAAAAATAAACAAATATAAGTATTTACATTTACTAATAATTTGATTTAAAATATAGAATTATTATACAGCGACCTTAAATTCGTCTACAGAATAAAAACAATTATCAGCCATTTTCAATTTCTTCTTGAAATTTTGAGGATTCATTTCTTTAATATTATTTCGTAAGAGGTTGTAGAGACAAACTCCTGCAAACATGGGGGAACTTTCATATTTTGAATGATGGTGCTTATTAGTTGTGATCATATCTCTGTTCCTGGTATTATGACTGTGAATTTCCATTCTTGTTCTTAATTCGCCTTTCTTTTCTTGTATGACTGTCAATAGTTGCAGAATGTATATACTTGCTACGGTTAATATTTTATTTTGGCGGAAAATTTCTCTACAGGAAGTTCGATAATCGAGATTGAAAATTAACCTCAACAAAGCTTTTTGTTTTATGAAAATTCGATCTGTCCTTGTAGACAGTCCCCAAATGGTAATGTTATATTCGATAATAGAGTGGAATTTAGCATAATACACTGATATCAGTGATTTCGTATCCAACTTACATTTCAGAGATTCAATCAAGTAATATGATTTAATTTGCCATGTAAACAGTGGATCGATCATCGTTCCCAAGAATATTGTTGAATCAGATAGCCTCAGGGATTCATTTTGAAAATTGAGGTCGAAATCATGTAGGGTTCTAGATGAATATGAAAATTCCATGCAGACTGTTTTTTTCATGTTAAGAATAGTCGGTTTTTTGATCGGAAGCTAGAACGTAAAATGTGATTTTTTATAAAGGTCAACGAATAAAAAATGTCATCCAATGAACAGGAATGAGTGAAGCTCGACCTCACTCCGAATCAAAGACTATTCGAGGTCTAGCCAAATCCAACCGTTTGCTTTTGGCGATATTTTCAGGTGATAGGTACCTCTCGAATTCAGAAAAAAAATCCCAAGTTTACAAAAATGCCGCGAAGATGATCTCTAAACATTTGAAAAAGATCCTATCAATTTTTTCTAACTATGTGTGTTGTTTTTAGGTAATGAACAGTCAGCCGATTTGTTCCAGAAGTTTGATATGAACTTGCCATTAGGATCGACTAAAGTATTACCTGCGGCGGTGATTATGCAGTTCCTCTTGTTGTACAAAAGAAATTTGTTGATCACTAGACGATATTACGTAAGTGAATATTGAATATTGATGTCTATCATAAATCATACTGTCATTTCCGTTCAATTTGTAATTTCGATTAGCTTTTTTCAATAACCAAAAATAATATGTTAATCACTTCGATGATTGATTTTAAATTGCTATTCATTTCAATAACACATCTATTCTTGGAGGAAAACTTTTTTTCTGGTATCATCTGGAGACTAACTTTTCATTCAAATTTGGAAAATATTGCATATAGATAGGGAACACAATTTTGTAGAATATCGTAGATGCTTATTATCCAGGGTGTCCAGAAATTAGCCTGCCAAACTTCACTAGCGGCTTCAACGACCAAAAATAGGAAGAAAAGTTTCAATGTACAGGGTGATTCATCATAAATGTCCCCTCCTTTAGCTCAATTATTTTTGAACCGATTGCAAAATCTCAAATATCATCTAAAATGATTTCCGATAGAGTTTTTTTCCGCTACATCCGAAAATACAAGGTGCTCGGAACAAACGATCTACAGGGTACTATTTGATTTTTTTAAATAAAACACCCTATTTTTCATTGTATTTTTAGATTCTCCCTGAAAAGCTGATTTCATCAATGTATTACACTTGGAGTCTAGCGAAAATGATTACAGAGATATAGGGTGTTCAAAATCGAGATTTTTCAACTTTAGGATTTTTCTGTGATACAACTATCCACTATCGGTCGAAACGGCTGTCATGTCCGTATCTCAACTTTCGATTTACTATCTACTGACATTTAATAATTGGAACAGATACAGAGGGTGATCAGAATTCTGAATCTTGAACCACACTGTATATGTTCCAATCAAATGTCAGTAGAAAGTAAATCGACAAAAAAATACTCAAGTTGATTAATCTCGATTTTGAACACCCTTTATCTCTGTAATCAGCTCTTCAGGGAGAATCTAAAAATACAATGAAATAACACAGGGTGTTCCATTTGAAAAAATCAAGTAGTACTCTGTAGATCGTTTGTTCCGAGCACCCTGTATTTTCTGATGCAACGGAAAAAAAATTTACGGAAAATCATTTTAGATGATTCTTCAAATTTTCAAATCGGTTCAAAAATAAGTGAGCTAGAGGGCGGACATTTATGGTGAATCACCCTGTACATGAGTCGAGTAATGTCTCCTAAGGGAGCTACGGCCCCTTGAAAAGGGTCCCCTGAAGATGATATTTCATGAATATTCTCGAAACGCCATGTGATAAAATGATTCAATTTGGTAGAAGAACTAAACATTCCATGCCCAATGCGGTAAAAATGAAATAATTCCTCAATTTTCTTCAGAAGTGTAGGAGTGTATAATACAGTGTGGGAATACACTATACAGTGTGTCCCACTTACCATGCTCACCATGGGTATCTTTTTAACAGTGAGAGATACGAGGTCGGTTGAATGACACCAAATGTGGAGTTTGTCAAGGCCAACTATAATGTGAAAAAATATTTTGATAAAATCTATTCGTTTTTGTTTTATACGCAAAAAACAGATTTTGATCATTTTCATGTCTCCTCCATAACTTCTTTATTTATGAAAATATTCAAATAGAAATTTCACATTCTCATGGCAGTTTTTCAAAATGATTTCGAAAAAAATATGAAATTTATACCAACTCTCCTAATATTTGAGATATCAGCACCAACTTTAGTTTTTCAAATGACTTAGTTACAAATAACTTTTTTTTCTCTTACAGATGATATGTTGCAGTAATAGTTTTGTGTTGATAACAACGGAGTTATCGTCATTTATACAAAAACAAAAATGATTTGGATGCCGCCATCTTGAATTCATAAATTTTAACAAAAAAATCATGATCTCCGACCTCAAAAACCCCCACTTACCAATTTTGAATGTAATCGGACCAAATCTTGTCCGCCATCTTGGAGCAGCCATTTTTTTTAATTTCAGCGAAAATTCCATAACTTCGATTAACTTGAAATTTGGCAGGTGTTCATAATTTCGGTGACAATTCATCATGGAATTTTTGTTGAAATTAAAAAAAATGGCTGCTCCAAGATGGCGGACAAGATTTGCTCCGATTCCATTCAAAATTGGTAAGTGGGGATTTTTGAGGTCGGAGATCATGATTTTTTTGTTATAATTTATAAATTCAAGATGGCGGCTTCCAAATAATTTTTTGTTTTTGTATAAATGACGATAACTCCGTTGTTATCAACACAAAACTATTACTGCGACATATCATCTGTAAGAGAAAAAAAGTTATTTGTAACTAAGTCATAGTGACTATGACCTACATATTTTGAAAAACTAAAGTTGGTGCTGATATCTCAAATATTAGAAGAGTCGGTATAAATTTTATATTTTTTTCGAAATCATTTTGAAAAACTGCCATGAGAATGTGAAATTCCTATTTAAATATTTTCATAAATAAAGAAGTTACGGAGGAGACATGAAAATGATCAAAATCTGTTTTTTGCGTATAAAACAAAAACGAATAGATTTTATCAAAATATTTTTTCACATTATAGTTGGCCTTGACAAACTTCTTTGTATGTATATTGTTCGACAATTAAATCCCTGATTATGAAAATCCATACCGTTTCACAAAACAAAGGTGCTCTTGTTCCGCAACAACATTTTCGAGTGAAATCGATTTAAAAATATTGATACACACATCTTATGCATAGCGTTACCAATTTTCAAATCATAGTGGCTTTAAAAAAACCACCTTTCTATTCACCAAACAATCTCTCAGAAGCGCGAAAAATAGGAAAATGATGATGCAAAAACTACTTAATTTTTTGTGCATTTTTTGTTTTCATGTCCACTACGACTCATTGCAATGTTATGCATAGTAAATTTGAGATGTAACAACATTTTTGAAACGCTTTCATTCGATAATGATAACATTTGATCGTTAGGGAAGAAGAGTACGTTTTTTCTGGTTAAATATTCTGTAAATGTTATATTCTTTTGCTTGTAAAATTCTACCTATATTCATGTGTGTATAACTATTATGATATGAATGTACCTGTGTATATATCTGAATCTGACGTTGCTAATGTTTTTGTAAAAAAAAAACCAATGGCAATAAATTTATCATTATTATTATTATTATTATTATGGAGCAATATTTAATGTAGTCTCATCGCATGTATTATACACTCCTGAAATGATTTTATTTCCACTGCATTGGGCATGAAAAGTATAGTTCCTGTCCAAATTGCATCTTTATCATTTCTCGTCTTATTTTCATTAAAACTTTCTTTCTTATTTTTGATCGTAGAAGCTGCTGGTGCAGTTTGGCAGCCTAATTTCGGTACACCCTGTACATATATATATATGCCTTGAATTTGATATGTTTTCAGAGTGAACCACTAAATCGCCTAATAGCCCACATTGCAATTGGCTGTTTATTTGGATATTTATATAGGAATGTAGGTGCTAGTGCCAACACAATTTTGGCTAATTATGTTTATCTTTATGGGACCCTTCTACTAACAGTATATACCGGTATGATGCCTGTTACATTGTCATGTAAGTCAAATTGTATTTTCTACCGTTTTTTTCATCGGAGTCCATCATCCTAACTGTATAAGTATAAAGTAATAACTACTCAATCGAGAATAATATCAACGAGAATATAAATAATGGAAGTTGATTGAGTATATAGGGGTTTTTCGAGCTTCCCCATGGGGATCTTAGTTATTATAAGAGATACGAGGATGCTGAACATTTATCTGCAGGAAAATTCGATATGTCATTTTTAGTTTTTAAATTATTCGAAGAAAACGAAAATTTGTAATATTCGTTTTTATTTTTTCAAGCGGATACCAAAAGACCTAGACGTTTCTGACTAGGACATTCTCAAGGCACTTTTTCACAAGGAATTTGAATCTGTCATTCTATTTTTCATGACGTTCTTGATATCAAAGTTACAACACTCAACTTTGTTTTTTCTGAATGGCGCCATATCGGATTTTTGCATTTTTGAACAGTCTTTTTTTTTGTTACAATTATGTATCGCACGATATGATCTGTACCGATCGATATTGATGAGCTGAGAAGAAATATAATCACCACTTTCAGAACTAAGATAAGAAGACGGGACATCTCGCGAGCAATTCAGAATCTGAGAAAACGCGTAGAATTGTGTTTAGACTTTGTTTTGTTTTGCGAAGAATAAACTTCTAGCTCATTACGTCGTTCCTAATTCAAAACCATAGTTTTTAAGTAGATGAGCTTGACGAAATTGTGAACGTTCCAAATCCAAATTCAAATAAACTGTCGAAATTGAGCTTGTTAAACAAAACTGTTGTGTAAAAATCCAATATGGCGTCCATAAGAAAAACAAAGTTGTGTGTTGTAACTTTGGCATCAAGAACGTCATGAAAAATACAATAACATTCCTTGTGGAAAAGACCCTTAAGAATGTTCCAGTCAGAAACGTCTAGGTCTTTTGGTTTCCGCTTGAAAAAATAGAAACGAGAATTATAAATTTTCGTTTCTTTCCAATAATTCGAAAACTGAAAATGCGCAACTTTGCTCTACTCTAACCGATCTCTCGTATCTCTTATAATAACTGAGATCCCCATGGTAGAGTTCGAAAAACGGACACCCTGTATTTGCCGATGGGACTATTTTTTTTTCATTTCACTCTACATCAATTCCATAAGCTGTGCCATAAGTATCTGATTTCAATATAAAATTTGTATGTATCTTGTGTTCAAATTATTTTCGTTTTATACGAGGATCATGAGAGATTCAATGAATGTATCATTATTATCATTATCATAACGAGCAATATTATAACTTCATAAAAATATTCGATCTTTATTCTCTCATCTACTTCACTTTGATAGATTTTTTTTGTTTTAGTTCCATTAGAAATGCGGGTTCTGACAAGAGAGCATTTCAATAGATGGTACAAACTAACCCCTTATCTATTATCTGTGATATTGATAGAGATTCCATTTCAAGTAAGTTGATACACCTAACAACACTTTTTTCAATCATACATGGCAACTACAAGATATTCCATTTCTCAATAACTCAAAATACACCAATCCATAACACCAATAATAGTTATTTATTATAGAAGGGAAAAAAGTATAAGGAAATAAAAATACTTGAGCTGAAATCTAATATTTTTTCCGTATATAATACTCTATTTTTTTCTGTGACAGAAGAAAGGACGAATCAATATTGAGAAGACATTACATTATTTTGATTTTGAAATCTGAAAATTATCAACGTGAAATTTCAATTTTTCAACCCAGATATTGCCACTGTCCTTTTGAAAGCCAAACCTGGCATGTTGCCAGAACATTTTTTTTTTCGAAAATTTATTTCAAGTTCAAAAATTACACTCTTAGTCATGGAAAATTAACAGCAAATCATCAATTTCATCATCTCATGAGTCACTTGAGAGAAATTAGGTGTCCTTTTAAAAGGACAGTGGCAAAATGGGCTGCTATTACAGTAGGAACACCTGCGTTGTAGGCATCTTTATCATTCTTTTGAAGTAATCAAATATCTGATGTCACTTCTGTCAGTCTAATTCTGTGATTTGATTTCAATAAATTGCTAATTTAGTGGTTGTTTAGTAATATACGTAACCGCAAAATCGAATGGAAGATAAAAGAACTTGCAGTTCTTTCTCGGAGACGGTATTATTGACTCATATTTCGGAACTATAGCACAACAAAAGCCATCAACTTTGTATATATATGTGATATATATCCGGGAAAAAAGTACTCACTTTTTTCCCACGGGAAAAAAGTGACATTTTATATTCTGCCAACAGAGATGCAATGCCAAACTTTTTTCCCGTCACAGAAAAAATAATAATTGATGTTGATTTTAATTTTTCAGGTGGTATGTGCATGGTTGTATATATCCATTTCCTACGTCCTGACAGATCAACCTCAAGACTTCAGGATGTTTTTGTTTGTATTATTCGTCACAGCCTGCTCTCTGTGTGCACAATCCATGGGATATTTTATAGGATCCACTACGCCTGTCAAGGTATGAATGAATTATTTCAATCGACGTAAATATCAATTAAAATAACTAGACATTCACCTATATTATTGTAGATAGTAATTGATCATTAAGTAGGTAAAGGAATGCTGCCGTATTTGCCATTCATGATAATTATTTATTCTAAATTAAATACGCACAATTCATTGTCATATACCGTAAATTCGAAGTCCATTAAAAAAACTGGAACGAACTCTGTTAGTTTTGAATGCACGATTTTGAGAAATACGGAAGATAAGTATATAGAGTGGGGTATTTTTGAAAAGATTCTCAAAAGATCTGACCAATGGTGAAGAAATATACAAGATACGGTACCAGTATTCAAATAGAGGCGTTGAAAAATAAATTAAAAGTAAAACAAAGAATTTTATTAATAATTCTTTATTTAAACGCTCTAAGAGGAATAAAAGAATGAAATGTTCTTTTATAATTCCAACTATCAACTTATAACTTCATTATACACACACTCATAATTATTCAGAGCTACCTGGGCAATGCCTCAAAATGAAGTTATCTTTTCAGGTAGCAGTATTCATCGCCCCAGTCTTAGCCTGCTTCCTCTCGGTCTTCGGCTTCTGTATTCGCTCGTTTGACACTCCCCCCTTCTTCAAGTGGATCTTCACCATTAGCTACTACAGGGCGGCCTTCCAGAGTCTCGTCTACTCCATTTATGGCCTCAACAGGCCGGCCCTGGATTGTCCGCCCGAGTCCGAGTATTGCCACTACCAAGACCCCAGGAAGTTCCTCAAAGAGATGGACATCGTGGACATCGATTTGGTGTCGAATATGTCGCTGATAGTGTTCATTTGGTGTTTGATGCACGCCGCTACTTATCTCACGCTGTGGCTGAAGTTGAATAAGCGATAGATTCCTAGTCTGGAGGGTTTTTCAAGTTGGTTAAGACGTAAGACTACTTCAAGTGAATCCTAACCATCAGCTACTACAGGGCGACTTTCCAAAGACTCGCCTCTACTCGATCTACAGCCTCAACAGACCCTGGGAAATTTCTCGAAGAGATGAACATTGTGACATCGATTTGGTGTCGAATATGTCGCTGATAGTGTTCATTTGGTGTTTGATGCACGCCGCTACTTATCTCACGCTGTGGCTGAAGTTGAATAAGCGATAGATTCCTGGTCTGGAGGGTTGTTTCAGTTGGTTAAGACGAAAGACTACTTCAAGTGAATCCTCACCTTCAGCTTCTACAGGGCGACTTTCCAAAGACCTGCCTCTACTCGATCCACGACCTCAACAGACACCAGGGAGTTTCTTGAAGAGAAAGACATTGTGACATCGATTTGTTGTCGAATATGTCGGTGATAGTGTTCATTTGGTGTTTGATGCATGCCGCCACTTATCTTACGCTGTGGCTGAAGTTGAATAAGCGATAGATTCCTGGTCTGGAGGTTGTTTTTAGTTGGTTAAGACGAAATACTACTTCAAGTAAATCCATCCTTACCATCAGCGACTAAAGGCGACTTTCCAAAGACTTGCCTCTACTCGGTCCACGGCCTCAACAGACACCAGGGGGTTTCTTGAAAGGAGAGACATTGTGACATCGTTTTGTTGTCGAGTATGTCGCTGATAGTGTTCATTTGGTGTTTGATGCACGCCGCTACTTATCTTACGGTGTGGCTGAAGTTGAGTTTTTTTCATTTTTTTTTTGAAGATAAAGAAAGTCAACAGGCCAGCCCTGGAATGTCTGCCCGAATCCGAGTATTGCCAATAACAGGATCTGAGAAAGTTTCTTACAGATATGGACATTGTGAACATCAATTTGTTGTGGAATATGTATGTTGTTGATCGTGTCAATTTGGTGTGCCTGAAGTTGAAAAAGCGAAACAGGCGGGTCTGGAATGGTTATTTATGTATCAAGGACAAAAAACTGTCTATTATAACTAATTTCCGAATGAAAAAACGCAAACTCATAATAATCACAGCGGACAGAAATTGTCTGCAGGCGAATGATGCTTGCCTTCAAAAATATCCGACTTTAAATAATTTTTGCAGCGGTCGGCGAAAGAGTGTTTTTTTTTTTAGTTGTTTAGGACCAAAGATGTATTTTTGTTATGGATACTGTGGTTGGTTTTTAGTCTTTGTACCAGTGATATTTCGTGCTTTATCAATCATCTAGAGATTGTTTTCTTATGATTGGGAAAATGTTGGATGCAAGAGCCTGATGAATAATGAATATAAGGTTTTTATTGATCGAATGATACTTAAGGGCTGGGTAAATATAATATTAAGAGTATTATACTCGAGTTAATTGAGAAGATTTTGAAGATTCAAATAACAAATAATATGAATGCTACACAGTGAGTATTCAGAATCTATTGCAAGATAAGATACCAGTATTTGCAGGATATTCGAATGTTGGATTTTTCACATAAAAAATAGGAGATGAATTTTGTAGTATTCAAACAATCTGGGTAAGTATTCAAATGGTATTAAGGTATTCGAATCCTTCAGAATAATTTAGATATTCTGGAGGTATACTGGGCCTACAAGAGACACGAAGGTATTCTTGGTTGCATAGTTATTTGTCACGTGATTTCCAATCATTGTTGAAAGACCCGTCATATATTGAGTAGGTACCTCAGATATACACAAGGTGTTGGGTTCACCGACCTATATCTGAAATAAGGTGGTAGGCTGATCGGTAATGTATATTCGAAAATATTCAACCACATATTAGGTATATACTATTATGGCATTTTTCGAGAAATCATCGCTTATAAATTCGAAGTTACACGATTGTTACATGTAAATCATCTAACAAGCCAAAACATATTAAAATAGTTGACAAAACTGTTTATATAACTTTTATGGTGTTCGGTGAAATTCGGAAAAACGATGATATCTCGAAATGCATAGCACTTCGAATATGGTTGAAGAGAATATGTTCAGAATTTTGTACTCATCACCCCCTTTCAGAATTACGTGTGTGAACCAAACACCCTGTATATTTCAAATATCTCAGGGAATATTTGCAATACAAGTTATGAATATACAAGAAGATATGAAAAAAAGTTGTTCATCCCATATTTCCAAAACACCTTTTGATATTTCTTCCCATTTCGAAATGGTTTTGATCAAATTGAGATTTGAAACTAGAATTCATTTTGAAGACTTGAACCCAAATGAATACGACATCATTCATCAGAAACCGAGCATTGGTCAGAAGACCATTTTTATTGAAAAATTATCACTTTACTAAGAAATAATTCTTTCATGCAAAAATTATATTTTACATGTTGAAAAGGCTCCATTATGGGGAACCTTTTGAGAATTATTTTGCCTTGGAAGTGTTACCTCACGCAGTACTATACTTAACAAAATTTGAAAAATATCAAAATTTGCTCTGGAAACATTGAGTAAAAAACACTATTTTTTATTTTTGAACACTGCATCTCAACAACTAGGCAACTCCTGAGAATTATTCAAGGATTATCACCCTTAAGTATCAGCATTCAATCAATGAACAGTGAACACCCTTCATAGGAAATTTCTTCATTCTGCAATTTGTATCTCAATATGAAGGTCACAAAACATAATATTCGAAAAATTTAATGGAACTATTCAATGAATTTAGATTCATCAGGCTCAACAATTTTGTTTTTTATTGTAGGTACAGAGTGTTATGAAATTCGATCGACAATGCTATACATATGAAGGAGAATTCGGTAGGAATATAAAGTCCTCAAGTGATTAGGTGTTTAATTAAATTGAAGTAGCGAGGGCTCTATCACCTTTGAAGCGTTGTCTATCGAATTTAATACCTTGTATAGTTTCTGCAAAACGAGAAGTAATAATTTTGATCTAGATGTAGGTGATACTCTGTGTACTTTACTAAATACACTCAAGTGATTGAACTGAAAATATAAGGCATAGATATGATATTTTTTGCCGATGTTGCTAAACAAATATAATATTTTCTCATTTAAATTTTAGGTGGTATTGGTTGACTAAGGAACAATGCAAATTATATTAAAATGTTTGAAATGCACCATTAGCAGACAAATAGTTTATATATGATTTCAGTTTTTTTTATATATTCTGTCATCTTATGATGACTCTAATAGTTGGTGAACCATCGTTGATTTTAATTAGTCAGAATTATACATCACTCAAAATATACTACTACTATTATAGATGCAACACATTTAGTCGATCAAAATGAAAAAGTCTGTATATTAATCGATGAGATGGAATATTCATTTGTCTAGATTTTTCAATACCATGGAAAACTGAAACTCACTTATCATAACTGCAGGGTTAAACATCAATATACCAGAGAAACTCAAACTTCCTTCTGAAATTCGAATCCGAGACCATTAAATTTTTAACTTGGTGGGAGTATTTTCAAAAGTCTAGCAATTTTTTATATGTTCATCCCCCTAGCTTGTAGTAACCCCAAACTCAAAATTTCAAACGGAGCTACCCTACTTCAAACTCCATTTGACGTCACTGATTCAAAGCCATTGCCAATACATAGGTGCATCTTTTTTCTGGAATAGATTGAGATTTCAACATAATTATTAGCATTTTATTGGTGGAAGGGACTTGTTGAATGACCACCAAGATCACCTTTGGCTCTATTTCTATGGGACCAATAATTGTAATGACTCAAGTACGTAATACAGTCTGGAAGATACTAGAGATGTAGTCTCAGAGAATCGTGGAAGAATACGGATTGAAAGTAAAATCCGAACATATTATTTGGAAAGATACTGTTAAAATTGTTGACAAGTAAGTGTGTGTCATTCACGGCAATACATTGAGAAACATCATTATAATTCTTTTACTTAAGCTTTTTTTATTCGAGACTCTCTTCTTATTGGTAAACTGATCAACCTTGATCAAAAGGAATGTGTGTTGTTGAAAATATCATGATCTTTTAAATACACAAGATGTTTATGTCGCTCAGAGTAGAAATTTGATGCTTTATTTTTTGAAAAAATGAATTTGAGCTTGTTGATGGTTAAGAAGATGCTTTTTTTATCAAATATGCTCCCCTCAGAAATAAAAATTATCGAGTCTGCGGATTCTGAAAAATTTTTCGCTAGAGTAGACGTTCATAATATAACAGTATAAATTGAGTTGAGTTATATTGAGAAGCTCTATTGTTGGGTATTCTGTGCTCTGGTCCTATTTACTTGTAAGTATACGCATAGCGCTATTATTTATTTTATTATTTAACATGTTTCATAGATTAAAATAATGATTCTATTTATTAAAAAAAATTAACATCATTACAAGTTATTTTTCATCCTTTCCTTTTTTTATCAGGATATATTTGCTAGCTAGTCATTAATTTCTGTGTAGTAGGTATTCAACGGTGGAATAATGAATGAATATATTGCTTTATAATTCGAATGTTGTTTTAATAAGTTGTTCTATTCGAATTTCCAGACATAGGTTTCAATGTTATCCCCTCAAATGTACCCGGGCAATCAGATATTACGTTTCATCGCTATTTTTTCTCATCAACAGATGACCAAGGTGACGTCATGAGTTTGCGTCATATAAAGTGACGTTACCGTATTCTATCCATCTACGTCAGAGTTAGTTCAGATATGGATTGAATAATCGTAAAAATTCATTCTCTGTCACTCGAAAAGAAATCAAATAATAATAATACTAATAAATATAAAGTTTATTCCAAATGTTGACATAATATAAATTAAAAGTATACATATTGATATTGAATAAATATAGAAAACCTTACGAAACATAACTTGTTGTAAGGTATATAAAATAAAAATTATGGTTATTAAATCAATTGATTAATTCGAGACAAAAGTAATTTATGAATAGAAAAGTATTGTTTTTCATTCAATAATTGGGTATAAGTACAATTCAGTACTGTTTAAAATTTTGTATAGAGAGATATTGAATATTAACCAGACAATAAGCAAATAAACTCCTTGAATAAGAGACTGATAATATCCAGTTTTTCATTCTAGTTTTGTAGCAATAAAAGGATTTGACTTCTTTGATATCACGCGGAATTTCATCATGCAAATAAGAAATCAAATATTCATGATTCCTCTGTCCAATTGTTTTATTAGATTTATATTTCAATGTTTCGTTTTTGTTTCTTATATCATAGGTTCATTTTTTTAAATCAACATCATTTATTTTTTGGAATGACTCGGCCGTTACTGGATGGAAATCCATGACAAATGAAAAAACTTCACAAACGATAAGATTTCCACAAAATTTTGTGGAAATCTTATCGCTTGTGAAGTTTTCACAAATATCATTTCTGTTTTTGAACACGTAAGTTGATAAACAATAAATATATAGCTGATTTATATCCATCTTTTGGGATTCTTTGTATAAAAAGTCGGTTGGAAATAAATAGTCTATTCCATAAATAATTTTCATAATCCATTATTGAATAACTTCCAATTTTTTCAAATTCATTAGCTTTACTCCTCCCCATCCTAAAATCCCATGAACTAATTGAGATTGAACTAAAGATACTGGAAACTAGGAATGCTCAATATACATTTCAGGCGGTTGAATTTAGGAATGAGACATCCAATTTTTTTCAAAACCTAATCTATATGATTATCTCACTTCAGATTATAATCAATCATTATGCCAAGATACAATTAGTTTCATGAACACCACCAAATTGGTACGTCAAACCAAACTGATCTCTAGACTTCATCATATTCATATGTATAAAATTAACGTTTTCAATAAATAGGGGTCTTGATGTTCACCATAACTAAATCATGCATAACCACAGTCGTCTGTGGCATAACCCGTGAGAGAGGTTATAGAAATATGATTTTATACTCGAAAATATTGCTCAAAAGGCAATCACATAGAATAAGAGAAATTTGTTCGGCATTTGTAAATAAAATATCTTTCACTTCCAGCAATGGCAGCAATAATAAAACAAACTGAATCAGTTAAATTACCTATATTCTACTTACAATCACATATTTGCATTGGTCATTATGATTAATATTTACACTAAACATTATTGTTGAAGATACAAAACTCAAAAATTGCATTATAATTCATTCTTATCCTTAAATCGAAATACTTCTACTGATAAACCCAATATATATTCAAGAAAATAATATTTTTTTCTTCATTTAAGTACCTACATTGTACTTCAAACTTTTGGAATTTTTCCCGATCTTCAGAATAAGTATTCTCTGATGACTCTTATAATTATAATGATTATTTAAACCATAATTGAATATATTCCGTATCATTCTCGTATACATAAATTTCACAATTTATTTCATATAGCTTCGTAGGTACACTGATACTATATTTTATACAGTATAGGTACCATATATAGGGTTAAATTTAGCAATATGGAAGTAACTTTTCGTTAAATATTGAGCACCAGGTCACATGTCACAAAATGTTATATATGTAAATAAATACTTTCCTAAAAATATCTATGCCTACATTAACATTTTTGATGAAGGATAAAAAAATTTCACAGCTTTTCAATTACAGTTGGTTAGGTACTTACATGCATATAAATAAACTAGATATCTGTTCCTGTTCATCCAGGATTCCAGCAATAATAATGAAAAAAAAGTTATGTTGTTTCAAAAATTGAAGTCACTTCAGCAGTCTTTTTTAGTTTCTTGAGGAAAAGTTACATAACTGCTCTGAATTAATTGGATTGGCTCCACGATAGTATAGATAATTAATGGATGCCTGGCATTGATTCCCGAAATTTTAGAATTATTCAGTGTCCACCTTTAGCAAGAAGTAGTAGCAAAAGAAATCCTATGTTAGGAATAACACTAGTGTCCCTATTTTGGCGTGTGCGTCCAATTTATGTATTGACCAAATTCGATTTCACCGTATCGATATGAGCTTCAGCCTGAACACAACTCACGCAGTAATTCGCAGAACAAACAGGAACAGCACTAGCGCGATAATTTCTGGAATCGATCTGACCGCACCGCAACCGCTTCCAGGAACGTTTTCGGGCTTGCAGTGTCAGAATATACGTCAGTTGATCTGATTCACGGCAAACCGGAGAACAAATTCTAGATAATTTGCATGTGTTCTTTAAATCTAGTGGCTCTATTTTGGCGTGTTTGTCCAATGTATGTCAATTTCATCTCAATATTCACTCCAGCCTGGGCAAAACGTACGAACTCATTCCTGAAGGAACACGAACAGCAGAAGCACGATCAAAGAATTGCCGAACTGAATCGACTGTGTTCTTCACTGCTTCCAGAAACGTTTCTTTGATACTTCTGGTGGCAAAGTATGAGTCAGTTGATCTCACTCACGGAAAATAAAGAAAGACGTTCTAAAAACTAGACTGCAAGTATGTGTTCTTTGAATCTAGTGTTCCCGATTTGGCATGTTTGTCCAATATATGTCTATTTCCTGAGCACAACGTACGCACTTATCCTCAATATAAATAAAAACAGCACTAGTGCGCGATAATGCCATTCTCGAACTGGTTTGACCGTACTTTCACAGCTCCGAGGAACGTTTTCGGGTAGTGGCAGTAGGCGTCCTTGGGGCACTCAATGATGCCTCTTTCAGGGCCGTAGACTACGCCTACGGTGCCCTCTAGCGCGTACCGCAGGTAGGACAAATAGCTGCTCCAGTGTGAGTACGGGGGCAGGTCACACAGTGAGTTGATCTCATCTTACGAAATAAAAGCTATGGAAACTATATTATTTTCATGTATGTGTTCTTCGAATCTACGGTCTTCGTTTTAGCGTGTTTCGCCAATATATGTCAATTATATCGCATTGACATGAGCTCCTAGCCTGAGCGAAACATTCGCACCGATGTAACAGCACAAGCACGAATAATGCATTCTCGAACTGAATCGACTGCGTTCTGCACTGCTTTCAGTACCGTTTCTTGATAGGTACGGTGGCAAAGTTGGGGTCAGCTTATCTCACGAAAAAAAATGGAAGACGTTCTAGAAACTATAAACTATCGGCAAGTATGTGCTCTTTGAATCTAGTGTCCCCGGTTTGGCGGTCGTGTTTGTCCAATGCATGTCAATTTCATCGTATCGACATGAGCTTTAGCCTGAGTACAACGTACTCACTTATCCTCAATACGAATAAAAACAGCACTAGTGCGATAATGTCATTCTCGAACTGGTCTGACCGTACTCCCACAGCTTCCAGGAACGTTTTCGGGTACTTGTAGTGGCAGTAGGCGTCCTCGGGGCACTCAATGATGCCTCTTTCAAGGCCGTAGAGACTGCGCCTACGGTGCCCTCTAGCGCGTACCGCAGGTAGGAGACGTAGCTGCCCCAGTAGAGGTACGGAGATAGGTCACAAAGTCAGTTGATCTCATCTCAAAAAATATGAAGGAACAAGCTATGGAAACTATGATCATTTTCATGTATGTGTTCTTTGAATCCAGGGTCCTCGTTTTGGCGTGTTTGGAAAACATATGTACATTACATTACATTAATCCCACTTACGAAAACAAAAGGAAGACGTTCTAGAAACTAGACTATTTGCAAGTATGTGTTCTTTGAATCTAGTGTCCCCGATTTGTCATGTTTGTCCAATATATGTCAATTTCACCGTATCGACATGAGCTTCAGCCTGAGCACAACGTACGCACTTATCCTCAATACGAATAGAAACAGCACTAGTGCGATAATGTCATTCTCGAACTGGTCTGACCGTACCCCCACAGCTTCCAGGAACGTTTTCGGGTACTTGTAATGGCAGTAGGCGTCCTCGGGGCACTCAATGATGCCTCTTTCAAGGCCGTAGACTGCGCCTACGGTGCCCTCTAGCGCGTACCGCAGGTAGGAGACGTAGCTGCCCCAGTGGAGGTACGGAGGTAGGTCACAAAGTCAGTTGATCTCATCTTCAAAAATATAAAGGAAGAAGCTATGGAGACTATGATCATTTTCATGTATGTGTTCTTTGCATCTAGGGTCCTCGTTTTGGCGTGTTTGGAAAACATATGTCAATTACATCGCATCGACATGAGCTCCAGCCTGAACGTTTTTTGATACTTGCGGTGGCAGAGTTGGGGTCAGTTAATCCCACTTACGAAAACAAAAGGAAGACGTTCTAGAAACTAGACTATTTGCAAGTATGTGTTCTTTGAATCTAGCGTCACCGATTTGGCATGTTTGTCCAATATATGTCAATTTCACCGTATCGACATGAGCTTCAGCCTGAGCACAACGTACGCACTTATCCTCAATACGAATAGAAACAGCACTAGTGCGATAATGTCATTCTCGAACTGGTCTGACCGTACCCCCACAGCTTCCAGGAACGTTTTCGGGTACTTGTAATGGCAGTAGGCGTCCTCGGGGCACTCAATGATGCCTCTTTCAAGGCCGTAGACTGCGCCTACGGTGCCCTCTAGCGCGTACCGCAGGTAGGAGACGTAGCTGCCCCAGTAGAGGTACGGGGGTAGGTCGCAAAGTCGCACACCGAATCCTGCGAACATCATCATGGGGACGCAGAGGGTTGGGCCCAAGAAAGTGCCGTTCTGAAAGAGAAAATAATTCAACTACGGAATAGCCAAAATGCTCAAAGTATAGGATTGAATGTTGAGAAGGAAAAACTCGAGGCAATTTTCAGGAATATTCGAAAAATGAACAATGGTAGATGGCGAAGAAAAACTACTACTTTTCTGGATAATAGGGATGTACACATATGTATGTACAGGGTAATTCTGTATAGTTGTAGAAAAACTTTTTAGAAAAACTTCAAGATCTTCCTTCAACAATCAACCTTAGAGACTTATCATATTTGGCACAAATACCCTTTTCGCACTAGAACCTCCAATTGTTGATGGATTCTCCCACTGATGTCGTTCTGAATGTATTCGAAAGATATAATAATTGTCTGTTCATTGAAAAAAAAATTACGGACATCGCCCTCATTGATATTATATTGTTAATAATAACTTACTACATTATCTTCATTTCTGGGATATCAATTCTTCATTGTAAAATAAATATCACCTTCATGTGGCTCAACAAGAAACTTCTACCTGATGTTGTTAGCCGAAAATTCACGTCATTATCGAGAAAGGAGTGTCATCCTCCACCTCTCTTAGAAGTGTAAAATGGAACACCAAAAGCATACAAAAAAAAACAACAAATAATTTGAAATGGGACAATCGAATAAAAATTGTAATTTCTCGAAAGTTTGGAAAACCAAAAAAAAAATATTTTATCGAAACAAATGAGCTCTAGATGATTTGAGTAAACTAACGCTATTGACAAGCAGACAAATAACAAGTCAATGAACGAACAATATCATACCTCTTACCTCTACTAACTATAGGTTTTCATTTAAAAGGACAACACATTATTTTACATACCGTTACATTGAAATAAGCACCAATCATCATGCCAAATCCTTGAACAACGAGTACTACCAGTTGAGAGCTTATGAAAAACATCAAGAATCTAACCATTTCTGGTGGTTGGGCAGTCATGTAGTAAATAATTGCTGTGAACGAGAAACAGCATACTACCTAGAAATACAAAAAATCATAAATAACTCATCGAGTCTTTCAGTATATCGGGTGTCCCGAAATTACATAAAAATATTTCAACCACAGATTCTGGGAACAATAATAGATAAAAAAAAGTTTATATAAACATAGACGGCTTGTAGCTATCTGATTTCCTGTCAAGTATGAAAATTTAAAATGTATAGTGTATAGGAGAAGTATACTTGTATGAACTCTGATATTATAATGCTCATCTATCAGACAGAGCTGTCATTGCTTGCAATTTGACAAATTTGACAAATGTCATCATGAGCAATGATTTTTTTCTTGAAATAATAACACAATGGAGTCATTGTGATATCAGAAATAAAATTGATGACATACAAAGTCAAAGTACTTCATTGATGTATCGAACACAGTGAAACAAAAGCAATTTTGTGTTATAGCCGTATAGAAAATAGTACTTTTCTCAATATGGTATACCTATCATAATATTTATTTTTTAGTTTATTCTTTTTATTGTTCCTCCCATATCTTGAACTGAACTTCACAAGTAGATGTTGAAAAATGGGTATTTCCCATCGAAACATAATTCTGGAGAACATTTTTTACTCTATCATAAAGAAAATGCACTATTTTTGTTAAGCAGCAGACTTTTAAAATCGACTTATCTCGAAAACGGTAAGTGCTATTGATGTTACACGTAAGTATTATTTTTTCATAAAATAGATGACTTTTTCATATTTCCTCGTCAAACTGACAAAAATTGCATAGAAAAATTATTGGGGGGGGGGAAGATATGCTTCTAGCCCCACCCCTTTCTCACGCCCCTGATCAAAATTTCGGAAAATTCTTAACATATCCAAATTGTTGGCCTGGCTTCGTCGTAAGTTCTTAGTTTCCTGGGAAGAAATGGTAATTCTTGCAGAAAACGCAGTATGATGAGTACATCGCCTGCAAATCTGCGGATAGGACAAATTGTTGCTCCCAATAGATCGTGTATATGAAGTAGTACTCTGCTGGACTTTGAATGTTATGTATATGTCGGCGTCAAACAGTGAAATCCGTCATTCTCTGGAATGCCTAGTCCTTTCACGTATTGCCGGCAAATAGCGTAACTCTAAATTTCCTACACCGTTTGCCTAATAGTTTCAGGCATTCTCTGTAATGACGGAAGGAAAGTTCAAACAGGCCGAGTCAGCTTAGGTTGTTTAGAAGCAGAAGTCTTTTTTGTTCCCTCAAGTAATTTTCTGAAAAATATACTTTCTAGGAAGAAGGTTCATTTAGGCGGAGTTTGGTTATATTTTGTTTAGGAAAAATAGTCTCCCGTCTTATGCATATGCAGAAAGGGTATTTTTCTTCCTCAACCCTCCGGCAAACAGAGTTACGGCTGAAAATGGAAGTTACGCTGTTACGTTGTTTGCCGACAATACATGAAATGACTAGGCATTTCAGGGAATGACGGATTCCATTAATTGACGGCGACATATACATATACGATACAGGTATTTTACATTTCCCTCGATATGGTATGGCAGAATGGTAAGTTTTACTTGTCGATAAGAATATAATTATTCTTAATCGATAAAGTAATCAAAAATATTAACGTTTGTTATAAAATATTATCATTAAAAAACCTTGTTCAAGTGATGAGCACTTACCGATAATGGTATATCAACCAAGGTTAGAGACGTATAGTACATCTTGAGGGAATACCATCTATTGAAGTGTTCTTTGGTCAGTATCGATATTTCTTGTGGAACTGGAAATATAATTACACCACATAAGACGTTTATTCAACAGTGGGTAATTTTAATGATAGTGAATTTATAAAACAGGAATACCTAAATAATGAATTGATTCTAACTAAGAATGGTCAGAAGTTCAACTGTGTGTGGTAAATTGATTCTTCAAAGGCCAGAACAAGAAATTTATTAACTTCAAAACCATCGTTGACTACACTAGGTGGCAAAATTCTAATAATAAGCTAACTGAAATAAACCCAAACATCGTCAAAAATAGAGTAGAAGGTGTAAGCAGAAGACAACAAGTTATCCTTTCGAGACTTCGCATTGGACATACCAAACTAACACATCAACATCTCCTCAGGAAAGAGAAAGCCATCAGATGCGAGTTCTGTGGAGTTAACATCTCGGTAAAACACATCATCTCTGAATGTCCCGGGCTTAAGCGACAAAGAGTATCCAATGGACTATCGAATGACCTTCAGAAAAATCTTCAAGGAAACAACATACTGAATCTCATGAAATTTCTCAAGTTAATTGATATCCTGAACGAAATATAGACACTGTAAACTTTGATTTGTAATGTATTGTGAGTTAATGTAATGTAATTATTGTTCCATCGCTAATATAACCTCTAATGGTTGATGCGATTTATTTCAAATAAAAAAAAAACATCGTTCCTGATGAAAAATCACTAAGCCAGGAATGTTTACTGTTAAACCCAACATTGAGAGTCAACTACGAAATTGCCACAATGCTCAAAGGGGAATGAAATGTTAAATAAATACAAAAAACTCGAACAACAATAGTAGATTTCGGGAGAAAAAACAACTTTCCTGGCTAATGCCACACAGAACATTGAATTACATCCTCCCGAAATCTATGCACTCGTATAAACGAATACTGATACAAGTGATTCTCTCCTGAATGCCTATTGATTTCGATTTAGCCAGACCACGCTAGACACCTACAGACCGGTTTCGCGATCTCTGACTTTCATCAGTGCAGGGCAGTCTGCAGCCAGCTGTCCTAAGACCACCGACAAAGCGTAGCCTAGCCAAAAAAAATCAAGTCGGCATTTTATTCCCTCAGAGGCGTCCTCCATAGACAATATGGAAGCAACGCCATCTGACTAGAAAACAAGGAAAGAAATCCTCCGAAAGTGAAATTCCCATACGGGAGTGGCTGGTTGCTCGACTGGCGTAATGTCAACAACTAGTTATACTTATATTCAAAAAGAATTGTTATTACGGATCAATTTGCGAACGATGACAAATCATTTACTCACTTGTGAGAATTGTCAACATCATCGTAGCGAAAGTGTGGTGCATCAGTATGGAAAACAGCAGATTGTAGTTGTCCAAGACTTTCGTCCCATCATTACCTGCTTTCCAATACAAAGTTCCTAACATTAGGCTGACCACTATATTTACACCTATACGCAAATATGTCAAAGTCTGAAAAATAAAGAATATATATAAAATATCACATACACTATAAGTTGATACCATATGAGAAACTTTTTAATTATTCATTTTAAGAAAAAATTTATTCTTCATAAAAAGTTTTGCTTATTCCGATATCTACTTTCAATTTATTTTTCACTTTTTAGTTATCGCTGGCTAGGTAAATACGTCCATCTCGCCAAATTACACAAGTCAAAATTTGATCAATCGATGTTATAGGCTTGAGAATCGTTTTTTTCAAACCTGCATTTTTATTCTCAGAGATTCCTTTCATTTGATAGGAAAGCACAAGAAACTCCAATAGTGCGCCATATTGGATTGAGAATCACATTATTCTTAATTAATCACGACAAGCACTTTTATTTTGATACCCATATTGTAGAAGTGCATTAAAAATAACTATTCCGCCATCGCGTGGATGGTCCGCCATATTTGATTCAGAATAACGTCACACACCTTATTCTTTGTCATCCAAATCAAACGTGTATACAAAATGTCAGCTCAATCGGTTGAAGATATTTACTTCAAAATTGAGTTCAAAGATTCCATCCGAACAAACATACTTCTATACATACATATACAATGCAAGTTGAATAAAAGCTATTTATTAATAAATCGAAAGTAAAAAAAAACTCAATAAAAAGCTTTTATTCAAACGCTCTAAAAAGAATAAAATAAAATGTTTCTTAATAATTGTAACTATCAACTTATAACCTCATTATACACAATTTATATAATCATAAAAGTTTGTCGCGCGATTCACTTGTGTGAATGAACTAGTTATTTAAATATGTAAAATCTGCTGAGATAAAATTTTTAAAATTACAATTTAATTGAATATTGATCATCTCGACAAGCTTTTATGATCATATAAATTGTGTATAATGAGGTTATAAGTTGATAGTTGAAATTATTAAGAAAAATTTTATTTTCTTCTTTTTAGAGCGTTTAAATAAAAGCTTTTTATTAAAAAGTTTTTTTCACTTGATTTATTTTTTAATTTTCACTTATCGCTAGCTGGATTTTTCGATTTACTCTCAACGAGCCTTTTCATTTTTGATAGGTACCCATATTGTAGAAGTATATTGAAAATGACCATTTCGCCATCTTGGATGGTCCGCCATAATGGATGTAGAATAACATCACATCTTTTTTCGAGTTACTCTCAACGAGCCTTTTCATTTGATACCCATATTGTAGAAGTATATCAAAAATATATAGCTATTCCGCAATCTTGGATGGTCCGCCTTATTGGATTTGGAATCACGTCACATTATTTTTCGAATTACTCCCAAGGAGCCCTTTCATTTGATACCCGTATTCTAAAAGTATATCAAAAATAGCTATTCCGCCATCTTGGATAGTCCGCCATATTGGATTTAGAATAACGTGACACACCTTATCGTGCATTGTCATCTAAACTGAACGTGTATACAAAATTTCAGCTCAATCGGTTGAAGATTTCTACTTCAAAATTGAGTTCAAAGATTCCACCCGAACATACATACATCCATGATAATATGATGATCATATTTTAGAATACGTTCTCTACATTTAAAATATTTTTAGCAACGCAGTGTTGCCACTTCTATCAAAAAGTAGCAACAATTTTGATATTTCAAATAGAATACCCTGTATTTCATTGCATTCTTCCTGAAGAGCTGATTTCATTGATACATAGATATTTAATCGGAACAGATTCAGGGGTGATCAAAATTCTGAATCTTGAACCACCCTGTATCTGTTTCGATTAACTATCAGTAAATAGTGAATCAGAAGTTGAGATTGGAACATTTTGACCGATAGTAAATAGTTATTTAGACACAAACAAATCCGAAAATTGAATAATCTCGATTTTGAACACCCTATATCTCTGTAATCTCTTTAGATAGACCCCAAGTGTGATGCATCCATGAAAGCAGCTCTTCAGGGAGAATCTAAAAATGCGATGAAATACAGTGTGTTCCGTTCGAAATATCAATGTTGCTACTACTTTCTATTAGAAGCGGCAACACTGCATTGTCAAAAATATTTTAAATGCAAAGAGCGTATTATTAAATATGGGCATGCACATTTTCATGGATTTCTTCCTACTGATTCTCGATGTGAAGATACTATGAGCTCGTCGTGACATATACCCTGTATACAAAACAAAATTCAAAAGGAAATCGTACCTGATCTCTTCCAGCTTTTACGAATCCTCGCCTAAGAAGTACTCTCAATTGGTTGAACTGCGATGTTGCCAATTGATTTTCACTAATTTCAATACTGTTCTTGGCCGAAATATCTGAAAAAATATTCGTCTACTTATCTATCAATTAAAATAATTGTAGCTCAAGGGGAAGTTTCCTATATTCAGGATTTTATCTCACTGTGAAGTTTGTGAAAAATTATTATGTACGTATTTTTTCTTTTTGTCGTCGGATCAAATTTCCCTTGAGAAAAAATAAATAAAAAAGGAACTTAGCTCCTCTACCATTTCTATGGCGCACTTTCTGAAAATCCACATTCACACAGAGTTAGAATATGATTCCATGTACGACGTTGCCGACATCATAAATATGTCAAGATTTCCAAAAATGGTTCTTTGAATGCATAATAACTATATACAGGGTGTTTCATAATTGAATGCTGATCTTAAAAAGGGCGATAATCCTAGTTACCATAAAATTATAAAAATATTGCTTAGATCTTTTGGTTACCACAATAATTGTGAAATTATGACAGAGTGAAAATCGAATAGGGACAAGCAAATGAATGCATTTTATTTTCTAACTCAAAAACCGTTCGCCGGACGAAAAAAAGACAAGAGACCATTTTCATGAGAAGATAGAGGATGAATCCAAAAATAATATTTATTTGGAAAAAACACAGTGGCGTATCATTATTTTGATGAAAAATATGACAGGGTATATTAACAGGGACGCCACTGATGGAAATTAAGAAATCCTTCATTATGGAAAAAATGTATTTCTATTCATACTCGGCATGTATCAAAATTGAAGGAAAAAGCCAGAGCGATTTCAAAGGTATTGGGGAATAACTGATTTTTTTGTTGAATTTCAACATCCTGTATCTCAGAAACGAAGCTGTTACGGACCTATGTTCACATGAAGAATTTTTCCTAAAATCATCCAAGGATTATCGCCCTTCAAGATCAGCATTCAATTATGAAACACCCTGTATAATAGCAATGGGATATAATAGGTTTTTCAATCCTGCTTTATCAAGTATTATGAAAAATTCCCATTGATCTCTCATTGGCTGAATGAAGTTGATTACTAATAAAGATAAACAACTATGATATTTTGCGATAGTATCTATAATTTTTCACTATCGTTATTTTACAATATGTTATTCATAACTTGTCAGTCATTTTTTTGCTAATGAATTCGTTCCTTAATAAAACGGATCTATTTTCTAATACTTTGAGTTCGTCCACACCACTCAGGATACTGACAGGCACAACAAGAGGAAGGAGCCATGGGTGTCGGCTTCCTTCTCTTCTGACCGATGGCAATGAATTATGAAGAATAGTATCATTGAATGTAGCTGATATTGATTCATTGATTCAATGATATTTTCGTTCAGGATCGAGCTCTATTCGAGATATTTCAATGCATAAATAACAAAACCATAACCTGTCAGAATGAAGCCAACTACTTTCTGTATTACTGTTCCGAGTGCATTTGTGGCTATGTATGTTTCTGTTAACCAGTTTTCCTTTTCTTCTATTTTTTTCATTCGTAAGCTATTCTTTAGCCATTCGCCAGCTATATTCTTCACCATCAGCTATTTTCAGACTAGATTCAGAATGTACAGGGCTATAGTTTTATTAATGTGAACCCCCTTCATCTTCTTTGTTTTCAATCCATTCAAGATGATTCAGAACTGATTTTCTCACGATATTTCATATTAGTTTCAATCATATTGAGAGAGTATTGCAATATCTCTTCATGGAATGCGCTGTATATTTTGATGGATGAAGATACTTCCTTATATATGTTTGTAATCTGGATGATTAAGGGAATTCAAATTTGAAGAAATATACAGGGCGTTTCATTTGAAAAATATATTTATTTTTGTATACCCTGTATATTTGAATTGATATTGCATCATTGTCAAAATTAGTTCACATTAATAAAACTAGCCCTGTACGTCACAGTTTGCCGCCCCAAAAATTAGGAATTGCTTTAGTTTGGAAAAGAAAACGACTTGGACTTAATCGGTCGCCATTCTATACAGCTTGGACATAAAACTGGAGAGTTCCGAACTTATTTTATGAACATTCATGCGAAGGAAACTTCCCCAAAAATGATTGAGATCTCAAATTAATTTGCTAACCGAGGAAGTTGAATATCTGAGGTGATATGAATTCCAATCATTTAGTTTACCAACTCATTGAAAAAATTGTAATCAGAGTTTTGTATTTTATCATTTTGGATGAGAAACAGTAATATTATACATATTGTACAGAACATGAAGTTAAAGCTAATCCAAGGGCTGACTCTGAACTAAATTAGGTATAAGCAGAGTGACTTTTACCGATCAAACACTGACCTGCTGATTTGAATACTGAAAAAATACTTGAAATTTGTATCCAGTAGAAGTTTACCTTGTAGCGCTTGATTGTTCGGTAAACTATCGGGGTCATTAAAATATCTGTATGACCTTCCATTGGAGGTGGCTTGTATCATCTTCTCGACCTTTTCCTCTCCATATTCTCCACATGCCATCTCGATTACTGGAATCATCAATAATATAAATAAACTAATTATCGCAACTAATTATTATTGATTATTATTATCTCCATCTAAAGTAGGATGCAGGTGTTTTCTTCTTGTATGAAATTATGAACATTATTGATACATCTTTGTATTCATTCTGAAGAATCAAAAATGAAACAGCAATACTTGGATGAAAATAAAGAAAGGCTCTAATAATAGGGGAGTGGACTAATTTTTTTCATATCTTGATGAAAAATTGAAGTGGGACAAACATATTGAGGTTCTGACAAAAAAAATATCTGCTATTATTGGTGCATTGAGAAGATGTCCCGAACTCAATATGAAAATTGCAGATATTGACAGATACTAAGTCGAATCAACTATTTGATAAATGTTTGGGGATCTTATTCTAAAAATAATTTCGATAAAATTTCAACATTATATAGGAAATCATTGAAAGTACTGTATTGATATATGATACACCAACAATTGAACTGTATGCTTCAACAAAAACATATTCTCTAGAAGAACTATACAGATTAGAGACTCTGAAAATTCCATGGAATATCATAAATGAAAAATTGAAATCTAATATCATTTTGACAAGGAATTTTGAAATTCATAGTCGTTAAACTAGACAATATCGCGATGCTGCTAGTTCTACACTCGGGCAAAAAAGATTCACTCATGCAGCCTTGTCTGAGTTCAATAAACTACCAGATGAAATTAAAAACTGCAGAAATATAGGTCCATTTAAAAAGAGAGTGAAAAACTGATCATTCCTGAGAGAAATGTTTAAAATTCATCAGTAAATTATGTCCTTGACTAGAATTCTCTTCTTTATCCATTGTATTGTTTTATTATTGTGATTTATTGTGATATCCTGATTTATTATGATTACTTATTCATGTTCACTTCTAAACTCATGTTTGTGTAGTAGTTCATAGATATTCATTACTCATTATTTCATAATTATGTTCAATAGGAATGCAGTGCTTGGAAGATGCGATCTTTCTGTTCAAGATTCCTTGTTCAAAACTCGTCGGGAGTTTTTTGTCATTATACAAAAATGAAAAAAATTCAAACACTTCCGTTCCGTTCAAGCCAATATCTCGAAACGGTTTAGTAATTTTCCATATTCCTAATACAGGATGGTAAAAATCGATAATTCTTCATTTTCTGGTTTTTATCGCATTATTTACGATTTTAGAGAAAAATTATCGACTTTCAACATCCTGTATGAGGAATATGGAAAATTACAAAACCGTTTCGAGATATTGACTTGAACGTACGAAGAAATGATGTATAGAAAAATAAAAACAATTCCGTGCAATAAGGAAGCGTTTGAATTTTCTCATTTTTGTAATACTTTTCTCGAATAATTGGTGTATAATAACAGAAAAACTCCCGACGAGTTTTGAACAAGGAATCTTGAGCAGAAAGATCACATCTTCCAAGCACTGCATTCAGATTGGAAACCCTTTCATTTCATAAATAATTATGGCAATTTGAAAGTTGTCGGAAATTTCAGTGGTCCACTTGTTTCTTTGTGCACTTTATATCTTTCCTTCGAGGGTTTTGGAGGAACATTATGAGAACATGTCTTTTGTGGAGTTACAGTGAATATTTCCGAGGTTTAGATGAGAGTATACCGGGTGACACAGGAGACATGTAGCAGCGTGTAGTTTTTTTATTTGAAGAGATAAAATTTTGAAATTCACAGGGGGTATATAATAAATGATAGCGCAATTTACGAACTCAACGACAATTTTTTTCAACCACCTGTTTGACCGGAAGTGACCCCAACTTTTTTTTTTAAATGTCACCCTGTACATTTCTCTGGTCTATCTTTTTTGCCTTAAAATTCTCTATCCAACCATGTATCACAAAGTGGCATTTATCTCTTAATTCGCTGTTGAATTGCTTTTTATTCAAAACGAATAAGTTGGCTGTGACATGAATTCGATGATATATCGACACTTGGTAGGCTTTGAAATTCAAATATCATTAGTAAACCGATATTATTCAAAATGTTTTGAAATTCTGATCAATGTCTGCAGGTTGTCAATAGCTTGTTTGAGTCAAGATGAAAACCTTCGAAAATAACTCATGATATTGAGGAATCTGAGATAGGAACATATTTTTTCGAATTCAGCTACTCGTACACAAACTATCTGTCTTTTATTTTCGCCATGTACCTATCACATGATCTTCCCATTTGTAATAAGAAAACTGAAATTGTTCCTCTTATACGATGATCCACAGGGCTATCAGTCTATTTTTTCATAATTATTTCACTTAATAGGCGGTGTACCAACACAAAATGTTTTATGTGTATGACAATTAATCGATTGCATCAAAATTTTTCTTCTTCATTTGTGTGTTGATTAAAATTGCATATTATCAATAGAGACGGAAAATGTATTTAAGAAACGAAAAAGTCGATCTGTTGTTAATATGCAATTTTAATCAACAAACAAATGAAGAAGAAAAATTATTGATGTAATCGATTAACTGTCAAACACATGAAACATTTTGTGTAGGTACACCGCCTACTAAGTGAAATAATTATGAAAAATTTGACTGATAGCCCTGTGGATCATCGTATAAGAGGAACAAATTTAGTTTTATTATTCCAAATGGAAAGATCATGTGATAGGTACATGGCGAAAATAAAAGACAGATAGTTTCTGTACGAGTAGCTGAATTCGAAAAAATATGTTCCTATCTTAGATTCCTCAATATCTTGAGTTATCTTCGAAGGTTTTCATCTTGACTCAAACAAACTATTGACAACCTGCAGACATTGATCAGAATATAAAAACATTTTGAATAATATCGGTTTACTAATGATATTTAAATTTCAAAGCCTACCAAGTGTCCATATATCATCGAATTCATGTCACAGCCAACTCATTTTTTTTGAATAAAAAGCAATTCAACAGCGAATTAAGACATAAATGCCACTTTGTGATACATGGTTCAAGGCGAAAAAGATAGACTGAAGAAATGTACAGGGTGACATTAAAAAAAAAGTTGGGGTCACTTCCGGTCAAACAGGTGGTTGAGAAAAATTGTCGTTAAGTTCGTAAAGTTCAAAATAAAAAAAACTACAGGCTGCTACATGTCTCCTGTGTCACCCGGTATATACTTGTAATAACTAGATAGGAAAAGACTATAAATAACCTGCTGGATGATAACAAACATTCTTGTTTCCGTGAATATTGATTAGGATGAGTAATTACCGTAGTCAGCTGGATTGTGGTACATGGGACAGGGATACCCGATGGCCTCGAAGAACGGTATCATTTTTTCTGTTCCACCCTGATAGACGCAATTACCCGCAGCTAAAACGTACACTTGGTCGAACAGGGCAAAAAGCATGGCCGATGGTTGGTGGATGGTACAAACGATGGTCCTACCTTCCGAAGCCAGCTGCTTTAGTAGCTTAATGCACATTGTACAAGAAGAACTGTCTAGACCACTGAAAAAAAAAACTCATCTTCAGAAAAAGAGAAAAACACGTTAACATATCGTCGACGAAACCGCAAAACCAAGTAACTGACAAAAATTCGAAAATGGGATTCTGGCGGCAATCGGTCTATCATATTGGTGGGGATGCGTATGCAAAACCTCATAACTGGTTAAAAATTGTGAATATTTCGAAATCCATAAATACAAAACCCCTTATCTGAAAAACAAAATAAAAGGGGTCGTCAAAAATAAGTATCTAACAGTTGGCAACGTGATTCACGCCTCTGATATTTTGTGTTCAATTTCTTTTCACAGAGATCAAGCTCTGCTTGGTGAGTGACTTTTTATAGAACAAATATGTAAAACAGTTTATTCTTAACTCCAATTGGTATTTCAACACAGGATGTGAAAATTTATCTCACTTATTTGTTGAGCGGAAAGTCCAGAAAAATGAAGTTACGTGTTTTTGCGAATTACTTTTCTGAATAATTGTTGTTGCTTTCGCACAGAAGCAGATGTCAAAACCAAGTATCTTACACTGACAAACGTAAACAATGACTTTTTTCAATGATCAATGTACAAACGTAAGGATAATAATAATCAGGTGGTTTGTTACTATTTTTCATTGAATCTGATCAGTTAACCCGAAATTATAAAGATTTTAGTGTCTCCTGAAAATTTTGGTTTTTGCAGTTACTGGGTTTTGCAGTTTCGTCGACGATTCAGTTTTAACCATCTGAGTCGATCCATCTCGCAGTGGAGTGAAGATAATATAGGGCAGGAAGAAAATCTTACAGTCAACTCCACCAAAACTATACTTCATTTAAATTGGAAATTGGGACATGTTTCGAAGCTTCAAAGCTTCATCATCAGCAAAATTGTTACAGGAAGTACTACAATAAGAAAGACAAAAACCACGTCAGGCAAAGTATTCAAATAATTAAAGTGAATGAATCCTCACCTGTTCTGGGAAAAATTCACATGTTGAAAAAAAAAATGAAAACAAGAAAAAAAGAATTACGGTTTACATATTATTACAAATTAAAACCATTGAAACATTTAGCAAAACAGGGACCGCAATTAACTGCGGATCACCTTCGTCAAAAAATTAGTGTATTCAGTTTTCACAAAAGAAAGAAACTCAAAGGCATTACCACAATAGTTCATAAAATCGAAGAAAATGGTAGATATCGAGAGAAAAAGGGCTACTTTCCTGGCTATATCCCACGCAGAACATTGAATTACATCCTCCCGAAGTCTATGCGATAATTCGTACAGATGAATAAAATGCGATTTTATGTATCCAATGTATTGAGAAGGAAGGTTCTAGTTACCATGGAATTTCAAGTGAAGTGGACAATCTGATGAAAAAAAATGAAGATTTTCCTCTGAAAATGTTTCTTATTATAACCCAAATTACTGTTTGTACACCCAGTTTAATACTTCATTATGGAGCTCTATAGCCAGAAAATGAGCTTCTCAAATCCTTTCCATTATCGAGGGAATTCTCAAATGAGTGTTGAAAAGGAATATTCTCAGATAAATTATGAACATACAAAAATGTATATATATTTATATAAAGCAATACATTGAGAATTCGCATTCTCTATGTGATGAGAATATTTACTCTTTTTCAGTTAATTCAATAGAAAACAACTACTTTCAAATGAGTACCTATTTTCAAGCTATTCTCCTTTGTGCATGTTCATTTCTTCATATTCAGTAATTCCAAAGTCATTAGGCCATAACAATTTGTTCGGCTACAAAAAACTTCATCAAACGATCAATTTGATGCGTACACAATATTAATGGAAATGAGCATCCGAGATGAAGAGTTCATAGAGGATAAATAAACTTAGGACGATTGAGAATGAGAGGAAATAATATTGCTGATAGCGTATTCCAAATACTGATTCACTTTGCATAGCGAACCGAACATTTATTCAAGTTGGACTTTAGATGGTTAATCAATTGGACAAATACTGGAATATTTACATACATTTTTGTGTTTTCGATAAGATTGTTACAACAAAACTGAATTGGGATGTTCTGCGATAACAAATAGATAAAAACAATCTATTTGTTTTTATCCATTTTATATGAAGGTGACTAATTGTTTCGCTCTTTGGATCTTGGACATTATATCGGGCTCACATAATTCTCACCTGTCACCTATTGGAATAGTGACTGCTAAAAAAATAAATACAAAGTACATACATTGGTACTTATCTGATTTATTAACTTGAAGTTATTGAGAAGTAATTTTCCTTGGTGACGTCGTATTGTGAGGTAGGTAAAGGTTGAAGTCACAAAACGTGACAATATAAACAAGAGAGAAAATGTTTTTTCCATACAAAGCTTGCAATATTTGCGTAACGCAGCCAAGTTAATCTCCAGTTGATCTCCGATGGCAAATTTTATGATGTCGATCATTTTTCTGGTTCCTGATCTTTCCAGATGTTTATAAGCCTAATATTGATGTATTTCCCAATTACTATGGGAATAATTGATGAACAGCATGATTTCGAGTACATGAGTTTAATCAGTGACATGAAATATTCAATCGGAAATCATCGGGTTGTACAGGACATTTTTTTATGTTCTGGTTCCCACAAAAAAAGATATCCTGTGATGTTCAGAGAACATCGTGAGAACCAAGGAAAATAAGGTAGGAATTGGTGTTCTTCTTGAATTTCTGGAGGTTATATGCCTCGGAGAACACCTCTCTTGGCAATGTGTTCCAGAGCCTCGCTGTTCGTTAGATGAACGAGTCTTTGGAAAGAGATGTTCTGCAGGTTTCCAAAGTGACCACGAAGGGTTTCGAAGCCTCAACTCGGCGGGTTAATCTCGCTGGGACTGTCAAGGGAAGTACAATTGTTGATATTTCAGAAGAGCATCGTCCATGAAAATATCTATAGAATAGAGCTGGATCGTCAACTTTCCTACGGTGTTGCAGAGAAGTGAGTCAGTTTGTGAGCGAGGCATCACCCACGAGACGAATTGCCCATTTTTGGACAGAATCCAACAGTTTCAGGGTATATTTGGGTGCTGGCACTCCAAATATGGGAACAATATTCCAGGATAGGTCGGATCTGTGCTTGGGATGCTCTTTCAGCAATTGATCTCACGTGATTTTCTCAAGCAAGTGTATTGCTGATATAGTAATACCAAGCATCGAAATGGATGTCTTCAATGGTATAGTTACTCCTGACAAGCTTATGTTGGGCACAGTGAGATCGGCTTTTCTAGAGAAAAGGCATGCTTGTGTTTTGTTTGCATTGAAATCTACCAAGTTATTTTTGACACTAGGGATAAGGAGTAGATAGGAAATAAAATTTCCAAAAGTCCCCGAACTTACGAGATGAACCAAGTGAAGCGGCGACGTAGAAGGTCCCTTTTTTGATTTATCGTCCCTATCTCAAGAACGGTACACAAAGCGAAAAAGCCAAAACATTCAAAATTATAGCTAGTAAAATTTTCCACAGAATTGTATTAGCAGATCTTTTCCCAATCCTTCATATAGTATTCGAGATATTCGCTAGCATATCATGTGAATTTGATTTTTCAGAACTGATAAGTATTTGACTATATGCATAGTCAGTGAATTTTATTCTCTCTTTCACTGCTAAGTTCGAATACAGTTGATATACATTCAGTTTATTACCATTCTTTATGTGAGGATGGATGCACCTAAGTATCTATAATACTTTTGTTACGTTTTCCATCCACCATTCAGGATATTCAAAGATGACATGATAATCATTTCAACTATGGCAATTCAAAAGTTTATATGGTATTGTCCTCCAGAAATATTCTCATTTGTAGTTCAAATTTCACAAATTTTCTCTTGAATGAGTTATTATGACCTTTATTGTATATAATCTCATATTGTTTATACAGGGTGTCCCACTAAGGTCGGCGAGGTACGATATTATGGAAACCATTAACCTTACAGCTACGGGAAAAAAATCTATTGACAAAATCGGCGATGACAAATTGATTCGAAATATTTTCAAGTTTTTAAAATGACCGCTAGGGGGCGAAATCACTATTATACGATGAGAAATTCGAATTATCTCAGAAAATCACTGTGTAAGGTGATTTTTTGATAACGGAAATGATAAGATTATCAATTTTCCGTTTTGTTGTTCCTTAGACATTTTATCGTATCTTCAATAATAATGGTGGGGGAAGCTTGTGAACAAAATATTTTTCAAATTGCTGTATCTTCCATACCCCTTATCCAAATTCAATCAACTTGGGCTCGTATTGAAGATAATTTCACGCTTATTCAAAATCCGACTTCGTTTACGGTCGCTAGTTCATACAGCGTCTCATAGAAGGCGCCGTTTACCGACTATTCGATTTTTCTGGATTTTCACGATAAAAATGATAAATGTTTGCATCAGTGGTCTCGAAGAGCATGGAAATGCCTACATTCTGGCGCAAACCGCGATTCGATAGCTTCATCTGTCTTCGAGTTATTGTTTCCATAATATCGTACCTCGCCGACCTTAGTGGGACACCCTGTATACAGACTGTTTGGCAACAATATTTGATAGATATTATTACAGGAAGACCGAGCACAACACATTGATCAACATGTATAGTGTTCGAGATCGAATGACAGCAACTTTCCTTGAAGTGGCAAGAAATAAATGGGAGTAAGAATATACAAGAATATATCCCGTCGACTGCAGAAATTTTTCTGATGGCCCAAGAAAGTGTTTGGGATCACACGTTAAAAGGTAAGGCCCCCGTCATTCCTTGCTCGCACAAGACTTTCGAAGACTTCTGAGGGTTGCTCGTAAGGGGGCAACCGAATGACGGATAGAACAATTTTAGAACAATTTTTAGGGTGATATACCAAGATTGATGGAAGTTTTCTACAATGAAACTTTGAGAGTTCAAAAATGTATGTGATATATCAATGAATTGTATAAAACTTCCATCAATCTTGATATACCACCCTGTATATTCTATCTCCGTTTTTTTTCTGCAAATTCCAGGAAAGTTGCTGTCATTCAATCGCGAACACTATACAAGTTGATCAATGTGTTGTGCTCGGTCTTCTTGTAATAATATCTATCAAATATTGTTGCCAAACACTCTGTATATAAACAATATGAGATTTCATACGATAAAGGTCACAATAGCTCATCCAAGATAAAATCTGTGATATTTGGGCAACAAATAAGAATATTTCTGGTCAGTAGTACAAATTATCACATTTTTCGAAAAAAAAAAATCATTTTCTCGAAAATCTGGGAAGACAAGAAAAAAATTGCGAAACCATTACGAGGAATATGCTTGATAATTTTGAAAGTATATCTGAAAAATTTCTCAAAAATTTTCTATCAAATTGGGATTATAGAGACTTTTTCAATATTTTGCAGAGATTTGTTGTTCATCCTTTATAGCCAGAGGTTACCATGTATTTCCATCAGCAGTCTATCTGTCATATACCCAATGGATCAATCTTCAGAGTAAAGGAAACCGCATCCGAATAGGTGGAATTTTCGCGAAAATATTCAGAGCCAAAATGTGCTTGATGCGGTTCGATTGATCAGCAGTTTATATATCGTATATCGTTTGGTACTTACGTTGTGGGTTCGTCCAAAAACATCACCATCGGGTTGCTAATCAATTCCAAAGCTATAGATAGTCTTTTCTTTTGTCCTCCTGATAGTTGCGCTGCTCTAACATTTTTTGTTTTCTGCAGACCCAAGGTTCCCAAAATGTTATGAATCTGCAACAAAAGAGGCATTCATAATTCGTCATTATATTACATATCAGGTTGATTTATTGAGAATGCACAATCTCTGAACTACAGATAGAAAACGACAAAATACACATCAGGCTGATTCATCAAGAATGCACAATCTCTGAACTACAGATAGAAAACGACAAAATATGGAGATTTAGCCTAATATGCCTTCAATATTGCTGGTTGAGCTGGTTCAGGAGATTTTATTTGATAATTTCACACCAAACATTTTCGATCAATTTAAAGCCGGTATTTCGTATCGTTACCATAGCAACTAAACAAATTTCTTGGAAATTCTTGCCTCCTCCTTGAAGGACGGAGCATGAAATTACACTGGAAATTGTTTGACGTTTATAGGTTTAATGACATTTACATTTAACTTCAGATTATTTCGAGTTCATTCTATAAGTCAATAAATAAAAATCTTTCATCAACAGTTTACCATGTAATATTATGTATAGGTATACTTGCAAATTCGAAATTTACAAAAACACATATTGTTACTATACGTTAGTTCTTACATTTCATCACGAACAACCATAATTTTCAACTCAATCATTCAAGTGTTGTTGAAATTCCTTAGCTTTAAATTGATCGAAAATGTTTGGTGTGAAATTTTCTTACCGAATACCACTTTAGCTTCAATTAATATCCGGGAATTTTTTCTCGAACACGAATATTCGTGCTCTCGAAAAAATTTCCGGGAATAATTGAAGCTCTTGTGATATTATAAGTGAAAATTCCACACCAAACATTTTCGATCAATTTAAAGCCTGTATTTCGTATCGTTACCATAGCAACTAAACAAAATTCTTGGATATTCTTGCCTCCTCCTTGAGGAACGGAGCCACTGGCAGAGTTTCTAGAAATTTTGAAAAAAAAATTTTCCTTTGACCACCCTGTATCTCCAAAACCAGCAACATATTTTCATAAGGCATCATGCTGGGCAAAATCTTCATATTTTGGTGATGACTATCTTTAATTCAGAAATTGTCCATTCTCAACGAATCACTCTGTATGATAAAGTAACAGACTGTGATTAGTACGATTTCGAGGATCGAATGAAAATACTTGATAGAAGTTCCCGCATAATTATGGACAATTTATCTTTTGCCAAAAAAATAAAACACATCTATTTAAACATTATCAATTTGAACAACTACGTTCATATGATATATCACTAATATAATATGTAAATAAACAAATGTTCATATTGTGGTTCCGATGAAACTACATTATTTGTCAATTCGATTTGATTATATTGACGTAAGCAGGTAAATGGAATTCCATTAGATGAACTATCAATTCATATAATTGCTACCTACTCTTTCTTAATCGATGATATCAGAAGTCTTGGTCCGAAGTCCAACAATACAAAATAAGTATAGGTAGGTATATGTACTTACCTTCCTATACCGAGGCTTCAGCCCAGCGAACACAAAAACATCTCAGAGATGTTGAAAGTACGAGATTTCGAGACATTGAACCTCCACTGCGATGTTCTGTTCACACATGAATAGAACTATTATAGAACAGCCAATGTCCGCCGCAGGCGGCAATTATCGAGATGTCCTTGATATGTCACAAAACTACCTTCTCCCTAGTTCTTTTTAAAGCCTTTTCATGGACACAACAGAACAGTTTCAACGCGTCTTGCGCACATTAAATCGCTGTAAAAAAACATTTTCGAGGTACTTTTCTGAAGCCTTTTGTCAAAATGAACTTTTGCATTAGGATTCCATTTCCCTTGAATGAAAAAATGCATTAAAAATATTTTCTTGATATGAAATTCCTTTTTCCTTCTTAATCGGTTTCTGAGTAGTGCTTACTACACACAGACATATAATTGGAAATAGGTTTCCCAATTTTTGAAATGTTCTCCACAATGCATAATTTTGCAACTGCGGAGAAGCTGTGTATTGATAAATTCGTACTTTTATATATTGATTACACTGAGGCACCGGACAACACATCTTGCATCTGATGGTCATTATAACAAACTAAATTAGTCTTCTAACACAATAAACTTCACCAAATTCCTTTCTGTTTGTTAGCAGCGTGATGTAAGCGTGACACGCTGCAAACGCGAATGCCAATTTCGAACAAGAAGAACAAAATCGAAAACAAATCAGAATTCATCGTATTGTGACGTAAGCATGAGACGTTGTGGTGGGGAAAACAAAGAAAGGGCACAAAAGAACAAAAACAATACTTTCAATATCCTTCTAAGACCTCTTTGGGAATATTACGCCTCAAAAAAACATCCTCATGCCTACATTCCTAAAACATCCCAAAACATCCCAGGGATACCTCTCAGTAGGCAAACAAAGGAATGCCACAGAAGAACAAAAACAATACTTCAATATCCTTCAAAGGCCTCTTTGGTCAGTGCATATTACGTCTCAAAATAACATCTTCATGCCAACATTTTCAAAACATACCAAAACATCCCAGGGATGTTTGTGCTCGCTGGGAAACCGCCTTTTCTAAGCAACATAACATTGAATTAATGGTATGGTTATAATATATTATGCAGGAAAACACAGAGAGCCAAGGTTGCCAAAGTTGTTTTGAAAATCCAACAAGTTGTCAAATTATATCCATGTTTTTTTCCAAGTTCTTAAATCTCACTCAACCATCACCTTCAAATGTTTTAATCGATCAAAACATTTTATCATATTATGTACTCCATCATCTGTTGTGGTCTGAATATCATAATATCCAATCCACATTATACAAAAACGTGTTTTTTCTTATCCAGGTAGGTACTGATTTGTCTCGATATATACCATGTGCATTGTCAGAACGGCCATCTTGCTTCGTTATTTTTTTTTTTTTCTATAGCCATACTTGGCTACATCAAAAAATTGTGTCCACAAGGTATCATTAAAAAATGTGAAACACCTTGGAAATTCCCAAATCTAAACACCATGTTTGATCAATATCGAGTCGTTCGTGATGTTTTGGTATGCTTATATTTATGATTCAACCTCAATAAAAATCTTCTTGGATTTATTGAACTTTGATTTCACAAACTCCAGTTTCAATTACACACGTATAAATAAATACACAGTGATTATGGTAACTATATTATTCGACCCAGAATCTTATCACTCTGTAGATTATGAATTTAATTGGATATGCAATAATTCAGCTGTTCCATCAGAGCAATAGTACACAGGGTGTTTCGTAATGTGTAGAACGCACTTCGAGAGGTGATATTGCGTCTCAAGAAAATAAAAAAGTTCTCATAAACAAGGCATCGTTTGCGAGATACAGGGTGTTAGAGTGGAAGATAAAATATAATTTTCATTGCAACTCCAAAATTTGATATATGTAGATGTCCGAGGATGTCCATGATAATAATTAATACCATTCTGCAACGGGCGTGTACACCTTAGTAGAACTTTTAACTCAAACCATGTATACAGGGTGAGTCATGAGGAACTGTACATGCTCCAACTATGAATAGAGGCAGCTGAGGGGAATACCAAATGACCATCAGAAAGTGTCTCCGCCTCTTCTAAAATGATCTATAGGGTGATTTAAGGGATATGGCCAAAACTTCTTTCAATCATAACTTTCCAACAGTTCTTTCGATTCTTTTCATTTTTTCATGGATTATTATGCTGTCACTCGGCAATCAACTGACGTATTCAGAATCGTGAAAATCCAGGACCGGTCTTGAGAAATTCTGCCAATTTGGTTCATATAAAAAATTTCACTCTGTATGAGGTTTTAGTAAACTGTGATATGGAATTTTCAAAGTTGATGAACAGGCAACCAAAATGAAGTATTTCAAATTTTCCTCACAATTTCATTGAATTTCTTAGAAAATGATTAATTTAAACTACACACGAAACTTGGGCAACAAATGTATTAATTTCAAAATTAATACTTCGCAATGCATGAATTTCACGAATAAAAGTAAGGGTAAAATTATTCCTGATTCTTGTTTGTCAACTCCGAACATTTCATGTCACAGTTTATTAAAATCATATACAGGGTGCAATTTTTGGTGACTATTACCATGTACCAAAAATTTACTGAATCCAACCCTGGATATAGATGAATGTTGATTTTCAGTGAACTGAAGAATAGGAAATGTTGTTATTCTTGCTTCTATTCGTGAAATTCTAGGGGTGCGAAGTATTCATTTTCAAATTAATACATTTGTTGCGAAAGTTTCACGGGTAGTGAAAATTGATCGTACTCTAAGAAATTCTGTGAAACTCTGAGGAAAATTTGAAAAACTTAATTTTGGTTGCCAGTTCATCAACTTTGACAATTCCATATCACAGGGGACTAAAACCATATACAGGGTGTAATTTTTGGTGATTATTACTCTCTACTAAAAAATTACTGAATCCAACCCTGGAAATAGAAGAATGTTGATTATTGTTGAGCTGAAGAATTGAGAATGATATTATCCCTACTTTCATTCGTGAAATTCATGCGTTGCGAAGTATTAATTTTCAAATTAATACATTTATTGCCCAAGTTTCGTGTGTAGTTTAAATTAATCATTTTTTAAGAAATTCAATGAAATTGTGAGGAAAATTTGAAATACTTCATTTTAGTTGCCTGTTCATCAACTTCAGAAATTCCATATCACAGTTTACTAAAACCTCATACAGGGTGAAATTTTTTATATGGACCAAATTGGCAGAATTTCTCAAGACCGGTCCTGGATTTCCACGATTCTGAATACGTCAGTTGATTGCTCAGTGACAGCATGATAATCCATGAAATAATGAAAGAAATCGAAAGAACTGTTGGAAAGTTATGATTGAAAGAAGTTTTTGCCATATCTCATTAATCACCCTATAGATTATTTTAGAAGAGGCGGAGACACTTTCTGATGGTCATTTGGTATTCCCCTCAGATGCCTCTATTCGTAGTAGGAGCATGTACAGTTCCTCATGACTCACCCTGTATAATGATCCTTTTATACATGAATAATGATTGACGACATAATTCGATCGAAAAATTAACTGGATTGTTTTATTTTTGGACATAAATAAAAGTACCTTCTGAAAACGGACCCTCTTATGACGTAGAATCCTCATCTCGCCATAGTTAGAAGGAAATACCAAACGCCCGACGGAGACTGAGGCAACTGATCTATTAATTCTTTCAACTCTGTGATCTCGCGCTAATTCACTCTGTCAGAAATCATGTATCATTCATCTCTGTCTGGAATAGTCTTGTTTCAGAATTAGGGTTTTGACGTCACATCATCGCCTCGTTTTCAGAGGTCCGAAAAATCGGTGATTTCAATGAGATTTTATAAAACGTAGGGAGCTCGCAGCAAGAAACGGTTGGCGGTGGTGAGCTAGTTTGGGTGAGTTCTATCGAATTATGGAATACATTTTTTTTGTGATATAAGCCCATTGTGGCACTATGCCAGTCACATAACAGACTAAATTTTGCCACTACGATAAGCCATACAGGGTGGACAGAAGAAATGTTTATAAATACTTTCAACTTTAACACCCTGTATTTCGCATTCTTGAGACATCCTATCACCTCTCGAAGTGCGTTTCACATATATTAAGAAACACCCTGTATATTCCCATCTCCACAGTGCTAGGAGTGGAAATTATTCCACTCAGGTAGGTAGTGCATGGTAAAATGATAATCAAGTGATTCCGTATTAATTTCCTTTCATGATAAAATGTTATGTATGTGAACAGGGGTCCATTTCCTTTTGTTCCTTATCATCATACAAAGGTCAGAAGTTGCAGATACCAGATACGGTACCAAACTTTTCTTGAAGGACGAATAAATATAACGTTGATTGTTGCGCAAAGTCATCTGTTCAGTTTATGTTTACGGAAAAATGCTTATTTGACTCAACTTATTAGATATTGCTTACAATCTTTCATTTTTATTACTCACACGTTCTCAGAAACATGTTTTTTCTCCAGATGACATTGAAAGTGGGCTTTTTGATGACACTTAACAGGCAGAAGAAGTGTACTTTTACTACCTAGGTAGAGAAGTGTACGTAGCAACGTTCCATTAAGTTAATTAAATCGAATTATTGGTAGGTAATCAAAATTGACAATGACTGTCCAGGCAACAGTGGTACACTAGGTGGCAAAATTCTAATGATAAGCCATTGTCGTTCTGATAAGCTAACTGAAATAAACCCAAACATCGTCAAAAATAGAGTAGAAGGTGTAAGCAGAAGACAACGAGTTATCCTTTCGAGACTACGCATTGGACATACTAAACTAACACATCAACATCTCCTCAGGAAAGAGGAAGCCATCAGATGCGAGTTCTGTGGAGTTAACATTTCGGTGAAACACATCATCTCTGAATGTCCCGGGTTTAAGCGACAAAGAGTATCCAATCGACTATCGAATGACCTTCAGAAAAATCTTCAAGGAAACAACATACTGAATCTCATGAAATTTTTCAAGTTAATTGATATCCTGAACGATCTATAGACACTGTAAACTCTGATTTGTAATGTAATGTAAGTTAATGTAATGTAATTATTGTTCCATCGCTAATAACCTCTAATGGTTGATGCGATTTATTTCAAATAAAAAAAAATTGACAATGACTTTGAGGGTAAACAGAAAATGATGGATCATTTGGACTTAGCGTGAAATTGAAACGAATTTGGAAAAACAATTCTTTCACATGGAAGAACCGAAGATTTGATGCCTAGTAAAGCACATAACTATTCTCTGTTGACTCGTATGACTGGTTTTAGAAAGATTCACTGCCAACTTTCATACTTCAACCCATCCCAGAATTTTCCAAACAAATGGATAGAATAGAATACCTTTATTTATCCAAGAAGATAATGAATTTATGATATAGGACAAGTCATAAAAAGTTTTTAACAATTTTCATTATCACTTAATCTAATGACCAATCATCCATCCTCATAATATGTTCATAATTACATGCTCTCATCACCATTCACACAAATCATTTACGGATCCTGAAAAGAGTACTGAAGGTACGCTGCAACGGAATAAAAGGCATTTGATAGCAATATCGATCTGATAGCTGACATAAACTTTTCCAAACTAGTCATGTTCTTTATTTCATTGTTCAATTTGTTATATAAGACTGTGCCCATATAATAAGGATTTGACTTATACAATTCTGATCTATGGATATCATATTGTAAATTATACCCATATCGTGTTGGATATGTATGAGCAGCATTTTGATACACAAAGTCTGTCAAATTTTGTTTCACAAATTTCAGTATCTCTAAAATGTATAAACAAGGCTGAGTAAAAATTTTGTTGCTAACAAATGTGGATTTGCATGATGCTCTATAAGATAGCCCAAAATATATCTTATTGCCCTTTTTTGTAAAACAACATTGCTGTCTGATGTTGTAGGGTTACCCCAGAAAATGACTCCATAACAAATATGAGATTCGATACATGAAAAATAGTATACTTTGATTACAAATGTATTTCAGAAGTTCTGCTAATAATATTGAAAAGGAACATTCTCAGATATATTTATGAACACAAAAAAATGGCATTCGTCGTGGCATATAGCCAGGAAAGTAGTTGTTTTCTGTTGAATAAACCGATAAAGAATTGCTATTTTCATCACATGGAGAATGCAAATTCTCAATGTATTTCTTTACATATATATCCAGTTTTTTGTGTTCATAAATATATCTGAGAATGTTCCTTTTCAATACTTTCACCCAATCAAGGGGTTCAAATTTGAGCGATGAAAACTTGTTATTTTTATAGACCTCAATCGTAGATTCGTGATAAGGTTTTTCTCAATTCAGAATGTCTTTCCACGTCCTGTATGATGAATGTCAATTTATCATACATTTGAAAAATCTGCTAATAATGTTTATCAAAACTTTCGAGCCGTTGGCGAGAAGTTTCGGAACGTCATGAGGTAAACCAAAGCAGCAGGCCGGAGTATATCATTCAACAGAAATTTCCAGAAAAAATAATAGGTATCACGAGTTGTATTCGTATGACTATTTCATAATTGAATCAGACCATGAATGATAATAAAGAAAGCCAGGAGTACGAGGTTAGTTGCGGTTACGTGTGGGTCAATTATTCGGCTATGTATTGATAGAGCCAGTTTGATAATTTTTAGTTAACAAAAACTATCGCTATGATACAGAAGAAACCGTGAAAATGTTCGATTTTGATTGGTTCTCGAACATAATATGAGTTTCCTTTTATGTCACTAACCGGCTATCACAGACATGTGCAATATAAATCATCGAATAAATTTGAAGACCACAGGCGAAATAGTAAGTTTCGAGAACAACGCATTTCAAAGTTTAGAACCTCCTTACTTTTTGCTGTTTGCTGTTGGAGGAAACTGAAATCCAACCACCTAGACTCATTTGATGAAGTATAATGAGCAATAGATTCGAACAACTACAAATAAAAATCATATTTGAATCAAAAAATCATCGGAAACAAAAAATTGTCAAAGAAATGGATTGTTTACTCGCAATCATGAAAAGGTAGCTGTTATAATATGATATTTTATTATGAGCATTTATAAATTATTGTTACACTATGTATAGTTGAAATATCTGAAAACATTGCTAAGCAAATTTATGAAGAAAAGGCCAAACAGCAAGAAAGAAAGGATATAATCCAAGAGTTATTGGAAGAAGAACAGAAAGAGATGTTGGAGATACAGCACAGAGAGGAATTAGAAAAACAGATCAGATAGAGAATAGAGACCAGAAGATCCCTTGCCAAACAGATGGAAGACAAGCAACAGAAACTAGAGCAAGATAGCAAAGAATAAGCCAAATTCAGAGAGGCGATGTTGGTAAAACATGTCAACTATACATAGTGTAACAATAATCTATAAATGCTCACAATAAAATATCATATAACAGTAGCCCTATCTCTTGTTTCCTCATCTCTTGTTTGCCTGAGAGTTCACTTTGACCTTTTAACAGTGTGAAAACAACCTATCAAAATCACAATGTAATCTGTATTCAAGCAAGCACTAAGCTTGTAAGTTCCCCTTTCGTCACATTTTTGAAGTGGATATCCCTCGTTTTTCCATGGGAACATATTTTCGAAGGAGCATATTAGCTGACTATGCTGCGTTATTGCTATGGACTTCTGTTTATACTAAAATATAGTGGTTAGGCTATAAGATGGCGGTGACAAGTCAATTTCCACCATATTGCGACATTCCCCCTTTTTCCCCAGTGGTCTTCATTTGAAAAAAACATGCTAGTACTCACGATCTTCTCCTTCTTTTTATCGCCAATATCAACAGGCAGCTTCAAATCCGCAGCGATTTTCATGCTCTCCTGCACGGTGAAAAGCGGCTGCAGTCTGTCATCTTGCGTGATGTAGCAGGAGGACCTTCTAAATTCCTCCAGGTTCCGTGGACGGCCGTTGACATATACGGTGCCGCCCACGCCGTTGATGCGGTACCCGCTGAGGACGTCCAAAAGGGTGCTCTTTCCTGCCCCGGACGGGCCCATGATGGCGATCAGTTGGCCTGGGGGCAGGCGGCCATTGATCTTGTGGAGGATCTCCTTCTTGGCTGAAAAAAAGGAGGAGAATGAAATACATGAGGATCTCACACAGATCTTGAGGGTTCTGGTCAAATTGGCTCAGCATTTGGGTATTTTGTAGTTTATGTTGGCGATCAGTTGTCCTTGGGGACAGGCAGTTGTTTATTTCGTGGAGGATCTTCTTCTTGGCTGGAATAAGGAGGAAGGGGATGAAAGACTATGGAGGACCTCACATAGATTTCATGGGTTTCGGTCAAATCGACTGAAATTTGAGTATTTTGTAGTTTATGATGGCCAGTGGGCAGGTGGCCATTGATCTTGTAAAGGATATCCTTCTTAGCTGGAAAAAGGGAAGAGGATGGAAATGAGGACCTCATACAGATCCTATGAGTTTCGGTCAAATTGGCTGAAAATGGTTATTTTGTAGTTTAAGTATATTGGTGATGAGTTGAACAGAGTTGATCTTTCGTGAAGGATCTTCTTCCTTACTGGAAAAAAGGAGGCGGAGGATGAAAGACTATGGGGATCTCACACAGATCTGATGGGTTTCGGTAAAACTGGCTGAAATCTGAGTATTTTGTAGTTTATGATGACGATCAGTTGACCTGGGGGCAGACGGCCATTGATGTTGTGGAGGATCTCCTCCTTGGCTGTAAAAAAGGAACAGGATGGAAATGAGGACCTCAGACAGATCTCATGGGTTTCCATCAAATCAGCTGAAATTTGGGTATTCGATAGTTTATTTTGGCGATCAGTTTGCCTGAGAGCTGGCGGTTGTTGATCTTGTGAAGAATCTTCTTCCTGAGTGGAAAAAAAGAGGAGGGGATGAAAGACTATGGAGGATCTCACACAGATCTTATGGGTTTCGGTCAAATTGGCTGAAATTGGAGTATTTTGTCGTTTATGATGGCGATCAGTTGACCTGGGGGCAGACGGCCATTGATCTTGTGGAGGATCTCCTTCTTGGCTGTATAAAAGGAACAGGATGGAAATGAGGGCCTCAGACAGATCTTATGGGTTTTGGTCAAATCAGCTGAAATTTGGGTATTTGATAGTTTATTTTGGCGATCAGTTTGCCTGAGAGCTGGCGGTTTTTGCTCTTGTGAAGAATCTTCTTCCTGAGTGGAAAAAGAGAGGAGGGGGGTGAAAGACTATGGAGGATCTCACACAGATCTTATGGGTTTCGGTCAAATTGGCTAAAATCTGAGTATTTTGTAGTTTATGATGACGATCAGTAGGCCTGGAGGCAGACGGCCATTGATCTTGTGGCGGATCTCCTTTTGGCTGTAAAAAAAGGACAGGATGGAAATGAGGGCCTTAGACAGATCTTATGGGTTTCCGTCAAATCAGCTGAAATTTGGGTATTTGATAGTTTATTTTGGCGATCAGTTTGCCTGAGAGCTGGCGGTTGTTGATCTTGTGAAGAATCTTCTTCCTGAGTGGAAAAAAAGAGGAGGGGGGTGAAAGACTATGGAGGATCTCATACAGATCTTATATGTTTTGGTCAAATTGGCTGAAATTTGAATATTTTGTCGTCTATGATGACGATCAGTTGGCCTGGGGGCAGACGGCCATTGATCTTGTGGAGGATCTCCTTCTTGGCTGTATAAAAAGAACAGGATGGAAATGGGGACCTTTGACAGATCTTATGGGTTTCGGTCAAATCAGCTGGAATTTGGGTATTCTATAGTTCATTTTGGCGATCAGTTTGCCTGAGAGCAGGCGGTTGTTGACCGTGTGAAGAATCTCCTTCCTGAGTGGAGAAAAAGAGGAGGGGGGTGAAAGACTATGGAGGATCTCACACAGATCTTATATGTTTCGGTCAAATTGGCTGAAATTTGAGTATTTTGTCGTTTATGATGACGATCAGTTGGCCTGGGGGCAGACGGCCATTGATCTTGTGGAGGATCTTCTTCTTGGCTGTAAAAAAAGAACAGGATGGAAATGGGGACCTTTGACAGATCTTATGGGTTTCGGTCAAATCAACTGAAATTTGGGTATTTTATAGTTCATTTTAGCAATCAGTTTGCCTGAGAGCAGGCAGTTGTTGATCTTGTGCAGAATCTTCTTCCAGAGTGGAAAAAAAGAGGAGGGGAGTGGAATACTATGGAGGATCTCACACAGATCTTATGAGTTTCGGTCAAATTGGCTGGAATTTCAATATTTTGTAGTTTATGATGACGATCAGTTGGCCTGGGGGCAGACGGCCATTGATCTTGTGGAGGATCTCCTTCTTGACTGTAAAAAAGGAACAGGATGGAAATGAGGACCTCAGACAGATCTTATGGGTTTCGGTCAAATCAGCCGAAATTTGGGTATTCTATAGTTTATTTTGGCGATCAGTTTGCCTGAGAGCAGTCGGTTGTTGACCGTGTGAAGAATCTCCTTCCTGAGTGGAGAAAAAGAGGAGGGGGGTGAAATACTATGGAGGATCTCACACAGATCTTATATGTTTCGGTCAAATTGGCTGAAATTTTAGTATTTTGTAGTTTATGATGACGATCAGTTAGCCTGGGGGCAGACGGCCATTGATCTTGTGGAAGATCTCCTCCTTGGCTGTAAAAAAGGAACAGGATGGAAATGAGGACCTCAGACAGATCTTATGGGTTTCGGTCAAATCAGCTGAAATTTGGGTATTCTATAGTTTATTTTGGCGATCAGTTTGCCTGAGAGCAGGCGGTTGTTGACCTTGTGAGTGGAGAAAAAGAGGAGGGGGTGAAAGACTATGGAGGATTTCACGGAGATCTTATATGTTTCGAATTGGCTGAAATTTGAGTATTTTGTAGTTTATGATGACGATCAGTTGGCCTGGGGGCAGACGACCATTGTTCTTATGGAGGATCTACTTCTTGGCTGTAAAAAAGGAACAGGATGGAAATGAGGACCTCAGACTCTTATGAGTTTCGGTCAAATCGGCTGGAATTTGGGCATTTTATAGTTTATCTTGGCGATCAGTTGACCTGGGAGCAGGTGGTTGTTGATCTTGAGAAGGATCTACTTCGTGACTGGAAAAAAAAGAGGGGGATGGAAAACTATGGAGAGTTTCATACTCCTTATGGGTTTCTGTCAAATTGGCTGAAATTTGGGTATTTTATAGTTTATGTTGGCGATTAGTTGGCCTTGGGGCAGGCAGTTGTTGATCTTGTGGAGGATCTTTTTCTTGATTTAAAAAAGGAGAAGGGAGATGGAAGACTATGAGGACCACACACAGATCTAATGGGTCTCGGTCAAATTTACTGAAATTTTGTTATTTTGTAGTTGATGTTGGCGATCAGTTGGCCTGGGGGCAGGCGGTTGTTGATCTTGTGAAGGATCTTCTTCTTGCCTGTAAAAGAAGGGGGGAGGGATGAAAGACTATGAGGACCTTGTACAGATCTTATGGGTTTCGATCGAATTGGCTGAAATTTGAGTATTTTGTGGAGGATTTCTTTCTTGGCTCGAAAATACGGGAGAGGATGGTGGCTTTATGACCACGATAAACAGAGATACGGTATATACAGTGTAGCCCGGGCAAGATTTTTCCTTCCTCTGTATTTTCGTTGCTATTTTGTATAGATTCATCCAAATTGGGCGAGTACTGCGCGATTTGATTCCAGATTTGAAAACAGCTGACCCTCTGTTATTAAGGCCCCATTTCTATCCAACATAGGTGACTCACGCATTTATCTATTATTCTAAAAAAAAAACATGATAGCTGTAAAATTACCGTGAAATTCATATATTCATCATCAATGAGATCTCGAAGATTGATAATCGATAATATCTTGACATTCGAGAGGTACCTACATATGAATACAAGGTCGAATTCAGAACCTTGGACCGTGTCAAAATCCAATGCAATCGATATTGCGCTTAGTATATCTCACTATCCTATCTCATTGTTTTCTCCAGTAGGTAGGTATCGCAATCTTTTCAATTGTATCACATTTTACTATGTAGTTCATCATCGAATGCATTATATTGAATTTATTAATGGTTATTTATTTGGATAAGTATACGAGGAAAATATTCATACATATAGCTAGGTAACACATGTAAGGATATTCCTTGGTTATATTGAAAAGGAATATTCTCAGATTTACATATGAACAAAAAATGATATATAGAAAGAAATACATTGAGAATTTGCATTCTCCATGTGATGAAAATATTATTTCTTTCTCGGTTTATTCAACAGAAAACAACTACTTTCCTGGCTATATGCCACGACGAATATTATTGAATTACATCTATTGAACACACACGATAAGAATTTGAGAACAAAAGCTTCTGAAGTAGAGAATTTGCATTCTCCTTCATGTAAAGATATACATATAATATCATTCTGAATATTCAACAGAAAACAACTTCTTTCCTTAGAGACATTTGAAGAAATCTACCTATATTTCTTCTCGAATTATGAGTGGTTTTAGTTCACATGCATTATTGCAACATGATGTTATAATAACTATCAGTTCAGATGATGTAGGTCTCGATTGAGGTACTTCCATTTAGATAATCAGCAGTAAAATAATTTAAATTAGAGGGCGGCTACTCAATTGGTGATATTATTTGATTTTCAATGTATGTTTGGGATTCAATGTTTCCATTTGATTTTTTTAAAATTAAGAATAACTGTCGTTCCACTAGGCCACTCTGTATCTCAAAACAGAAAATAACAACGTGTTCTCTTTCAATGTCAGGGAATAAGTTAAAAGATTCCTATGTAAGCTAATTAAGAAATCACTCCGATAAAATTCAAAGTAGGTAGGTACCTTAATTTTTTAATATATGTCGGTGTGTCGTATATCATTATTTTCATCGACGAGGATATAACTATATTTATTTATAAAATGACTGTTTTTATAAAAGTGTTGTCAATATCTATTGAAAAAATATCTATTTTTCATTCTGGTTCCATAATGAATTATCTTGATAGATTATATACTTATAGGACATTGAACAAAAATGTAGGTGATCATTTATATTGGAGGTCAGCGAATCCCTCGGCGAATCCTTTATGTATGAGTATCATAATGAAATAAATATT